AATCTATTGACAGGCACAGAAGAAAATGGCATTGAGCCGTTTCGTCTTTGCCTATAATTATGTAGATAATACAAACGTTATCTGTACCATGTAATCTATAAACTTCTAGAAAAATCGAATTAAATGTAATTATTTCAATAGACGCTTGTGTTGTTTGGCAATTTAATTTGAAAAATATTAATAGCATTTTAAAAATTAAATTGTAATATGCAAATTAATTACGAACAAAATCTATTAACAAAATGAAAGCGTTCTTTTATTCTTAAATTACTTTAATATTGTTTTACTTAGGTTATTCAATTAAACTAAATTCTTTTTGAATACGCATTTAATATAATAATCCTCACGATATAAGTATGCATAATCAGAACATTCTTTTTAATTCATTAAATGTGACAAAAGTAATACATTTAAGTGTATAAATTGAGATCAAAGAATGCCAAAAGCCGATGTTAAATACAAAGTATACTGACATCCGCATATGTAGTTGTAAATTGAATTGAAAATTATAAATTAAGATTTTAATGATACGCGCTTAACAAACAAACAAAAAAACTCCATAGACATAATCCACAAATAAATACATTCGATAATATTTAATTAAAAAATCCTTTGCCACATTTATTTAGCATGCAAGCGAAAATACACACAGATAGATACACACTTCGACGATACAAAATATTTATTATACATTACACATTAAATAACGTTTTTTTTAAGTCTAGCAATTTTTTTAAATAAGTACTCAAGTATTGTGGATACAATTAGATTCGGTTCAACATGATTTCGTTGCTAATTTTCGATGCAAGGGAAAACAGGTTAAAATTTATAAACGAATCGGGAGATAAAGTAGGATTTGTTTTGGCAAGATTTCTTTTACATCAATGAACGAGTTTTTTTATTTATTTCAATAATTTACAGAGCGGTAACAGTGCCAACAAGGACACATACAGCTTATTGACCGTAAGCCCTATTCATCGCTATGAAACGTTTTAATTAGATGTAGCGAATACTGACACGGAAAACTAAATTTTGAGTGAGTAAAACAAGAGTCAGATTCTTCTAAATCTTTGTACCGACTGCATGGTAATAATATTTTGATTGGCACACGCAATTGGTCTAGTTAATCCTTAGTAAATCCTCGGATTTTGCTGGTGAATGTCGTAAAAGGCGACTAAAGTTTATATCGGTGAATGGTCAGCAGCGTTCTCTGAGCGTCATTTCCTGCTGTTAGGATTTATTGTGAGCCCGTGCGGGTAGTTACAGACTGCCTGCCTATATCCGCCGCGAAGTAATCGCGTGTACCAGTTTCAAGGGTAGGAGCGATGTTGTGCAATAAAACTGAAAATTCCACATTTCCAAATTTGTGTTTTGCTTTCTGCATTCTCCAACGTCAGATGGCCCGCGAAATCTTTAACTCGAGTACGCGATAAAAAAAAAAAAAACGACTTACATAAAACAGTGTGCTTAGTGCGAGTTTTTTAACGTTCTCGATAGCGTAAAAGTTAACTCTGTATGGAGTTGGAACGTTTGCCTACGTTTGCCGCTAGGGGCGCTGTTCCGACTGCATACATATTTAAGTTAACTTTTACGCTATCGAGAACATTAAAAAACTCGCACTTACCACACAGAATTGGGCTGCCTAGAATAGTTATTAAGTCATTATTTGAAACAATCTATGTGTCGAATATCAAATTTCAACCTTAAGTCTAAATGTATATGAGCGCTTAATACTAAGAATACGCGAACAAATCTGTTTCGCGCGATATTGAGCCACCAAATAAGTTAACATTTTGAAATTTTTGTAAAGTTATTTTTACAGGTAACTTCTGAAGAATGCTTTATTTAAAAAAAAAAAGATGAAGTCACGTAAGTTAGTTAGAGAATCAATAGATTATTTTTAACTATATTACGAACAATGTAGCAAGTCGAAAGTGATTGTCGATGGTACGTGGCTATGGTTGCCAGGTGGGGGCCCATCAACATTAACTCAGAATAGTATAAAAATTTCGGATATTTGAAACAAATTAAATTTATGGTTCGCGTAAAAAAAGGATAACACGTCATCCGCCGTGACCTAGTCTAAATTTGTAAAATATTTTATCATGTATAATTCAGATAAAAATTGTCATTAAGACGACAGATAGATTTGATTTAAAAAAGTAGAATTTCAACTGAAACCCTACTACGCGTGAACAAAATTTATTTATTTAGCTAAAACAAACATTTCAAATCTTAAGTCATTTCATTAATTTATTTAGGTTTTATTTTTTCGCCCGAATACAATGACGGACGCGTTTTACTCTCGCTAAAACAATTCTTTAAATTTAATTAAAATCATTTTTACGGTTTAATATCGCTTATAATGTTTTCATTATTAATGTCAATAAATACTCGTATGTTTTATGGGAAAAAAAGACGGTGCCCGAAACGGGGTTTGAGTTATTCAAACACTTATTGTAGGTGTGTAATTTTTAATATAAATTGAAAATAGTTTGAGAGACGAAATTAAATCGTAAAAATTGTTTTAAAAGCGTATTTAGATTCGCGAAAACCGATGAAAATATAAATTTATCCTAAGTTGTGAATTAATTTAAAACTAAAAAAAAAAACAGTCTAGTCATATTTTCTTCGGTTTTCGCGATTCGTGGTTATTAAAAATTTAAAACTTATTTTACGGTTTAAATTTGCGTTTCGTTTGGCATGATATTCAAATATCGACGAACCATAACTTAAGCCGTTAGCGACTACGAGAATCGTAATTCGATACGTAAAAAAGTATATTTATTGCAAATGTAAAATGGTAAATTAAACCGTAAAAGTAGCTTTAATAAATAAATAAACAAATGAAAACACACAATTAGTTTACAAAACCCTTTAAATAAAAATGATCATTGAATAAAACCATAATGACTCCTATTTTGACTGAATACTATATGTAGAGCCGCCGTTGAAACCACTTATGTACATACTGGGTGTTAGAAGACGGCTTCCGAAAACGAAGACAGACAATAGTACTCATGACACCTTTGATGATGGGCCGGAAGAAAAAACGACAATGATTTAAAAAAAAAAAAAAAACATTAAAATGTTATATTAGCATTATTTACGCTCCATCGTGTTAGTATAGCTAAATAAAACGATAGTCTCATAAAAAAAATTACATTACGTTACTAAAAAAAACAAAACCAGCAATGAAACACAAAATCAAAAACAGCTGATGCTCGGGTCAACGAACGCCCGGGCGCGGCGTTTCTTTTACACGCACACTGGCACTGAAACCGCATCATCATCATCATCATCATTCCTTCCTATTACCCTCTGCTGGGGTGTAGGGCTCGAATCAAATTTTTCCATTTACATCGATCTTGGGCAGCCTGTTCTAGCTCCTCCTACGTCATGCCCAAGACCCCTAGCTCCTGCTCCACTGAGCGACGCCAAGTTGTTCTGGGGCGGCCTCTCTTCCTCTTGCCAGACACTTTCCAGGTAAAAATTGATTATAAAATTTTCGCACTCCCCAAAATTTACAACTTTGTAAGTACAAAATTTTCTTTTTCGGAAGCGGTCTTCTAACGCCCAGTACACACCCAGACATTAAGAATATGATCGAGGGGTGAAAAGTTATTTGCTTAAAGCGACAGTTGGCTTAAAGCGCCACATTTATCTTTGTAATTAAAGATCCGTTTTTTTTTTTGTATTAGCATCAACAGTTCGATGTTTTTAATTGAACTTCAATTAATGTTCACCACATTTAAATAGCCGAAGAAGTTTTTTTTTATTATTATGATACTTTTTCCAAAATTTCAAACTTCAAACGGCTCTATTGTAATGTTACAAAAATATTACTTAAACCAAACACTCCTTCATCTGACGATTGTGAATAAAACCAAAATACGTACGTAAATTTTTTACGTGAGCGTCGAAGGTTTAAAACCCAAACCTAAGGACGACCCAAATTACGTAAACCAGGAATTGATTATTATCATTAATATTACCTATGATTTGTTTTCATTAAAAATGATAAGAACGAAACTAACTCCTTAAATAATGATCATTAACAATAATAATGGCGAAATTAATCAATATAACTTAATTAAAAAAAGTACATGTAAATCAGATCTAAATTTAATCAGTCTATTAAAGCAAATATATAAATAGGCAGGTCATCTTAAGTATTAAATTTTCGGTGAATTGAGCTTTTTTATTTTAATTAGGGGAGCTTAATTTTTATCAAAAACAATATTTTCTAAAATATAACAGTATCTTTACACAAATAAATTTTTTTTTCTCATTCAAATTTAAAGTGTGAAATTTTAATCTTAAAAAAATACTGGTTTTTTTTCTTAATTGGTACACGTAGTAGCAAAGGAAATAATATTTTAGATTTTTTCAACTATGGCAACATTAGATCGGTGTAGAAATTTCTCATCAGTTCGAATTTTGTCAAATCTTCGACTATTATCAATAATAAATATAAAAGCACCTACATACGACTTTATAATTTAATATTGCTACTTCACAGAATACACGTAGGTAAGTGAACAGTAGAAAAGCTATTTATAACGTTATCATTTATAAGCTTATAGATCAGCTATGAAAAGCGTTTTCGAAAAAGTTATTAGCAGTTGACGAATAACTTTATAAATGGCTGTCCGTTGCAACAACTATTAAAGGTAGCAGAGTAATTTTAATATGGCTTCGTTACTTTATTTATCAGGCAAAGGATACGGATCGGAAACTGGTTAAGCATAAACATCGCCCATGAAATACGCATGCTACTGACAGCCAATCCCGAAGATTCACAAAAAAAAATTTAGCTTGAATCATTGATTATATTAATTAAGCGTTGGATGCGTTTTATTTAATTATGTAGCCTAAATGTCATCGTGTTATCGATGACTTGTTCTGTGTGCTTAGTTTTAAAAGTTAAAGTTAAAGTTAAAAGTTAACTCAAATTTGTATGGAGTGGGAACGTTTGCCTACGTTTGTCGCTAGGGGCGCTGTTCCGACTGCATACTTTAGTTAACTTGTACGCTATCGTGAACGTTAAAAAACTCGGACTAATTACACAGAATAGGGCTGCCAGATAGTTATTAAGTCATTATTTGAAATAATCGATGTGTCGAATATCAAATTTCAACCTTAAGTCTAAATGTACATGAGCGCTTAATACTAAGAATACGCGAACACATCTGTTTCGCGCGATATTGAGCTACTAATAGATAAGTTAACATTTTGAACGCATTAAGCAAACTGGTAATAAGCATGTTAATTTCACGCTATTTCCCGGACTCTAGTTATTTGCAACGAACAGCCCTCCGGATCAACATTTCATTAAAGTTAATAATCATTTTCTTCGTTTTCATAATGCTGCTGTATCTCGTACGAAGATACCGTTATCCGCGACGTTTCCGATGCTAAATGCGTTATTTCGACCTGTTATCAAAATTATAATTAAAATAACTCGCTTTTTAACACAACACTATTATAAAACGAATTTTTTTTAAAGTATTTTCAAAACCTGAATGCATCATTAACCGATTTCAAGAGAAAGTACTTTAAGTGCATAATAGTTATGTAAATAATGAAATTAAAATATATGTTTGTTGTGATGAAAAAGTCTAAATTAATCAATTTTAATAATTAAATAAATAAATAATTTATCAATTTTATTTTATTTCATTTTAAATTTGAAGCTATTGCAGATAAGCCAAATTACGTGTGGAACTTGGCCAATACTTTGTATTGTGGCTAATGCAGTGAGGTACAATACTCACGACTCACAAAAAATAATAATTAAAGTGCTAATAAATTACAAGTATAAAATACGGTCACTTGATCAAACTGCTCATGCAATAAATGGCTATTGATTACATGTTAATAGTTTAAATTTATTAAGAATTACAAAACTCACCTTGATATTATCATATAATTCATAAACTAATAAAACTACTAAAGCCATACTAAGTGTTACAGTTGTAAGCGGAATTCTCCTATTTGGTAGCTTTGTGGTAGATAGAAAAAAAAACCTTTTTTTTTCATCATAGCACAAGTTATATTTTTTGAGGTTAAAAAGACAAGTTTGCTTTCCAAATATTTATTCTACACGTCGGTCGTCTTAAATATATAACAACAATAAAATGTACAATATCATTTATTTAATAGTAACAACGACATCTCGTGAGAGTTCAAACGTTTCTGTGACGGTGACCAGGGGAATGAGGGGTCGATGATCTTTTGTTATTATTTAAATGTGGTCTGTATTCAATTTCGTTGACTTTTGTATAGGCTTCGCAAACTATGGAATTATTTTTTTAATGAAATACGTACTCAACAAATGTTCACGATTGACTTCCACGGTGAAGCAAATAGCATTGTGTAATAAAAATCAAACCCGCAAAATTATAATTTGCGTAATTACTGGTGGTAGGACCTCTTGGGAGTCCGCCACCATCCTAGGTGGACGAGCTCATCGCCCACCTGGTGTTAAGTGGTTACCGGAGCCCATAGACATCTACAACGTAAATGCTGCCACCCACCTTGAGATATGAGTTCTAAGGATCAGTATAGTTACAACGGCTGCCCCACCCCTCAAACCGAAACGCATTACTGCTTCGCAACAGAAATAAGAAATATCGGGCGAGTGATTTCATCGGAATAAATATTTATCGCGCGTAAACCTATTAAACAGTTATCCAAGCCCATAAATTTCAACAATGCCCCACCCACTTTGAGATTCTGGATTTAAATGGTATAACTAATTATGCAAATTATGTATTTTGCGAATTTGATTTTTGTTGTACGATGCTAGTTTTTGCTAAGTTTATGACCTTTCCACATCAGAACTTGACTTCGATACAAAAGTTAAAAAAATTAATCAATCGCAATACGATAATTTGCTGCTAAACGAATTTCAGACACGTATTATTTCTTTATCTGGAAGCGGGTGAATGAATCTTTGAAAGGATCGAATCGATTTCGATGAAATAATATTTTTTCTGGTAGGGGTTCCAACCGAATCTAAATATTTTAGGAAATATTTAAGGTGCTTCAAATGTTTTTTGTTTTTTTATTAGAGAAAGAACCGCTGACATCTATCTATATATAATAATTATTCTCAGGGATTATAAAAGTATTCAAATCATACGGATATTAAAAATTGTTAACATCTTCTGGAATATGTGTATATCAATGAACCACCTTACACCGTTTATAATATTTTTTATAAGTAATCCTTTAGAATAATTCTTATTCTAAACCACCAGCCACCTTCCGATCGTGAGGACATACAACAAGAAGTAGTATAGTGTTTAATTTGACTCATTTAATACTTATTTTAATATGGTCACCAATCACAAAAAGGTTTCTACAAAAATCTGAAAGTATTCACTTTTATGAAAGACCTTAACGACTTTATTTATATGAGTATGTATTGTTAAACTATATGTTGAGGCTTGAAAGTTGTTGGAATTGTTTCGTGATAGCAACTCCGTGAATTTGTGGGACGTTTTGTGTGTTCTCACGGCACATGATCCAACTGCGTCAGCGTTCGAATCCAGTGGCAGTCACAATTTAGTTGTAAGTTCGTGTATTTATATATTCAAGGTTAATTGTCACACATACAGATCAAATCTCGATTTCAAAGCCTTTCACTGAAATTGAGAGGCTGGCCACGGGGTCATATTAATTAGTAAGTTTATTTATTATCAGAAAACCGGCAAATACTAAATTGAATTATAAGTAAAAATACTTTCAGATTAATTTTTTTATAAATATATTTCGAAATATTACCATATTACGTTCACATAAAAGCCGATTAAATATTTTTCAAAGCGAATAATAAATTGCTTTCATTATATAGACAACCATTATTAATTTAATCAATAAATTTTTTTATTTTTTTATTTTAACAAACATTGAGTAAATAGTAGAAGTTGGTCAACATTTATTGGCAACACTGATGACATTTCAAGAGCTATATCAATGTCAAAATGGAGATAACGAATAACCTAAGTTATATTGAATAGCTAATTTATAAAAATTTGTACTCTTCGAATACAATAGTCAAGATATGTGCCGACTAAAAATAACTAAGCATAATTTTGAATTCACAATAACGGTATGTATCTCTGAAAGATGGTATTGAATGTAAACCATTTACCTACTTAAGTCAGTCGGTCTGTTTACGAAATTTAATAACTGCACGTTTGCAAATTTTTATTCACAAACTATGCGTTCGATTTGAAGTCGATGGTTTATTAGAGAAATATTTATATTTCATTTTATCGACAAAAGTTCGCGGTCTTTCGATTCCTGTAGCGATATTTGGGACACTACTGATCATTCGCAAGGAGAATTTGAGTGTGCGTCACACGCGTGATAATCCGGAAAACTCAAAAAACCTTAGGTATGTGACAGTCTTAAATTTGCTGAACTTGTTTTTTACTGAGCACGAGGTAAAACTGGCCCAAAACTTTAACTAACTTAACGTACATACCCTACGTTAAAAAACTTCAATATTTTCGCATTTAGCTATTCAAATAATACAAACTCGTAAAACAGCAAAAAATAACATTCAGAATCAAGCTATTTATTTAAGTTCAATCAAGAATGCCTCTTTATATTCATCTCTCACAAAATGAAATGAAGTTTAAAAATAATACGAAAATTAACCCTATCACTGCCACGTAGATAACTTGTGCCCTACGCAGGACACTGTAGTAATTATCTCGATTTCTGTTACTAAGACGCCAGAATATCTAGTAGACTCCGGGAAAGACGAATGCCAAGATATTGAGAGTAAAATTATTTCTAAGCGACTTTAAAACGCTAAACATACATTAACAAACAAAAGAAGGCAAAGCTAGGGAATCTAGCTTAATGACAGATATCGACATAATTACTTCAATGCGCCGCGTAGGTCGCCGGTGACCCATATGGTAGTCGAAGGGTTAATATCGCCAAAAACATCTACCTCCAAAACGGAATCAAAGTTTCGCACTGAAAGACCATGGCTATTTTCCCGACAGACTTCGAATTCATGCTTAAAATGGTTGTCATCACATTTTCAGCGAAATGATATGAACAATATCATGCGATCCACCAAATGGTTACTACTATTATGTCTTCCATGCCTTCCGGTTTGAAGTTTGGCGCAACCTTGTAAAACTCTGAACTAATTTTTCAAAGCTGATGGTGATATTTACGTCGTTGATGTCTATGGGCTCCCGTAACGAATTAACAGCAGGTGGGCCGTGAGTTCGTTTACCCGTTTAAACAATAAAAAAAAAGTTGCATACGTGAATTTTTTAGAACCCATCCAAATTAATCTTTGATAATAATAAAATATAATAATTACTGACTGTGTCTTAATAAACCTAAGCCTCACTATTCTATGAGCTAACCTACGAACGATGTACATTTTTCATTAACAATTTAAGTTATTTTGAACACGACAATAGACGAGTAATAATAAATCTCAAAAAACGTGTAACCTCATTTTCGTCATATTTCAATAACATGTTGATATGGACAGGCGGTAAATAAAAGTTTTCAATTACCGCTTTGGAGGAGTTTAAGGTAAACTCTGCAGACAATTTAAATCCAAAATTAAGATATTTAACGGGAAACGCATAAAATAGACTCAAAAAAAAAACTGTTCGTCATGAAAATGAGGCCACAATAATTTCAATTCAGTCAAACTTTAACTTTTAAGTAACATTAAACATACAGAGGAATACATTAACTATAATCTTTATCGACGCGTTCCTTCAAGTGCAACTGTTATAGTCAAAAAACCCACCATTAAAGCAGCGTCCAAAACAAAAACTCAGCATTAATCATAATTGTACGGNTCAAAAAAAAACTGTTCGTCATGAAAATGAGGCCACAATAATTTCAATTCAGTCAAACTTTAACTTTTAAGTAACATTAAACATACAGAGGAATACATTAACTATAATCTTTATCGACGCGTTCCTTCAAGTGCAACTGTTATAGTCAAAAAACCCACCATTAAAGCAGCGTCCAAAACAAAAACTCAGCATTAATCATAATTGTACGGCTTATCATCATCTGCGTTATGTGCTAGCGTTTTTTTTAATTAATTTTATCATTATAACGAGAATTAACCATCTCAATTCTAATCACTGGGGAGATTGGAGTATTTAATGAATTTGGCTTAAAAGACTAGAATTCGAACTTTTAATTTAAAAAAGTGTCACAATGAATCCAGTTAAAATTTCATTTTTACACGCACAGGCCATATGGGTTGCGATATTGATTTTTTTAAGGGATTTTATGACCTGGTAACTAAGACCTTTAAGTCATGTCTTATGTTAATTTACATTATTATTTTTATGAAAAAATAATAATATGGAGTGAAATGAAATGAAGATGATTAATTTGAGACATTAATCAACTGAGATGAAATTAAATGAAATTAGATGATATGGAATGAAATATAATCCCAGTAAAACGGTGGTCATTTACCGAGATTATTTCAGTGGACTTTTAAGAGGATCCCGAGAAGCTACGTCCAGCGGCTTTGTTTCATTTTCCCACATTTGTGCACTTTTACAGATATTAAACAGTTAATAAACCACCGTTATTACACATTTAAACGTGAAGAGACACTAAAAAGACAAAATAAAAGAAATCACACTACTCCACTCCTCGCGTTCCAAAAGTCCAAAAGTTTAAACGGTAGGCAGCGGCTTGGCTCTGCCCCTGGCATTGCTGAAGTCCATGGGCGACGGTAACCACTCACCATCAGGTGGGCCGTATGCTCGTCTGCCTACAAGGGCAATAAAAAAAAAGTCCATGGATATATTAGGAAACTTCTGAATATAGTGTAGCTTGTATGTACACAGATTACAATAAAAGTCGATGCCATATATCAACATAACATCACAAGTCGCATTAATTCTCATTATAATGTGTTGTTTTATGCAATGCAATAATTCCTAGTGCTATATCATTATTATGATGAGTGCTGCAAATATCAATTATTTAGTCCAAAATCGTTCATAGCGGGTATTATGATATATACAATTTTTTAAATGTATTATTATATATTGGTCTAATTGATAAGCGTTCTAGTTGAGAATATGGCTGCGGTACACTCAAATTTCATTACTGTCAAGCCCCGGACAACCGGAAAGCATAGATGAACAATTTTGGACTCTGTATCTTTATGAGTGAATGGTAGATAATATATTTTTTTTGTTCTTTGTAACACTGCTCTAGATATTTCTACCGTTCATTTTGTTTCAATGATTATAAAGCATATTTATTTGAATTAGTCAAACCAGCTCAAATCCAACACCTTGTTAATTACTAAAATGCATCTACGTATTGAACAAGAGATATTTTTATAATAATTCATTATTTATTTGTAATATATGTAATGAATGATTGAATGTCAATCTGTCATATGACAGTTGACAGTTCTTTAAATAATTTTTCGGTTAATGAACGTTGTGAAATGTGTGATAAAGAATTATTGAAGAAAGGGCATTAAATGTTGTTATAATAAAAATATATATTTCTTCATTCATTACATATAGATAAAATCTCTTATTAAATACGCAATATGGCGGATACTATAGAATGAGATTAGATTCGACTCACCACTTCGCTTGTGAGGCAGTTGATTGATGATGGAGGGGCGGAACGTGCGGGGGGCGGCGGGGGACGGGGTGAACGACCTCCTTCAGACCGTGCTGGAGTTATTGGGTAGCCTGTAATATATATATTTTTATTGCTTTGATGGGTGGACAAACTCACGGCTCACTTGGTGTTAAGTAGTTACCGGAGCCCATAGACATCTACAAAGTAAATTCCGCCACTCACCTTGAGACATGAGTTCTAAGGTCTCAAGTTCAGTACAAGAATATACCTTTTTTACGGTTCTTTCGAGTTAGATACAATTTCAAGTACCGATTGCAATACAAAATTTTAGTATATTTTTTTACTATTTTAGTATTTTTTACTATTACCTTTTTTACTATATTCGAAGTCACTGTAGAAATTAATGATTACCACTGAATTCAAAATGAGATTATTCGTTAAAAAAATAATCCAAATATATACTAGGGTGCTTTCCAATAACAAATTCAATTCACGTGACAATATCACTCATCTATTATCTACATAAGAAACTGCATAATTTCTTCCAAGCTTCATCTCAACTCTTTGAAAGTCTTGACGATAACCTAACATGTACTACTGACCTTGTTCACTGCTACTCGACTCGGTGAAACTGGGCGTTCCTTCTGTCCAAGTCGGGGTCGAGCCCTCCACTGACGCTGGCGGAGTCCAACATACGCTGAAAACATACAAAACTCTTGATGGAAACCATACAAAAATAACAGATTGTAGTCACGATTCTTCATCAGCTCACAGTTCACTGCCGGACATAGGCCTCTCCCAATCCATATCACTGAACCCGGTCTTTGGCTCTCCTCATCTACCTCAACCGGCCACCTTTTGGAGGTCATCACATCACCTAGCGAGGGGGCATCCTACGTTACGTTTTCGAAATTTAAATTTGAATTTTACGAAATACATAAATAAATATGCAAATTTATCATCATCATCATCATCACCAGGATCGAAAAATGTGGAACGCTTCACGATTTTGCGTGTCATCCTTGCACAGGGGCTATGCTAATCTTCTCTGTATCGTTCCAATTTTAGTATATGTACTGTCGAAGCAAGTACATTTTATCCTTCAGAGAAACTCCGAGCATGGCTCTTTCCATGACTCGCTGAGCGACCATGAGCTGACGGGCTAGCCGCACTGTGAATGTCTACGTCTCGGCTCCGTAAGTCGCGACTCGCTTTGCCCAAGATAATTTGGAGGTAAACAGATATATGACATCCAGGATCGATGAGGACTATCTAAGGATGTAAATCGGTGGTCATATAAAAGCTCACCTAGCTTCGTTACTCCGAGCGCTGCTTAAAGCCGCCGGCGTCAACGCTAAAGACGAGGCTGATGAAGTGGTCATTACGCTAGCGGCGCTGGATGCACCGCGTCTCCTCCCCGAAGCGCTCGATGACGTTGTCGACGAAGAGTTGGTGCGACTGCTCCTCAATGGGGCGTTCTCCTCAAACGGCGGTGGAGGCGTGGAACAGCACGACGTCGGAACCGCAGCTGAGTGGATTACTAGCATTACTACTTAGCTCTATTCGTTAAGATGGGACAATATCAATGTTGAGACGCATATCACGAATGACGTTATAATGATTTTAGCATGCACGATACAGACTAGAAATATAACCGAAATACGATGTTAATGTGTTTCTTTTGGATCACATGCGCATATGAAGCTATACAAAGCGTTCAAGCAGTGTTAAAGGCATGATTAGGGCTTAGCTGATAAATGTTAATAATAAGATAAGGTTTCCTCGGTGCGGGGATCTCGTGCGAGGATTCGGCCTGCTGATCCATAAAAAAGGGGGAGCGATAGCAGAGAGCCAACGCAGTATTTTTCTCAATTATTATCAAGACAGTAAACGTCTTAATGAACTTATTGGATGTTCAGAATAAGTTTCAACTATTAAACAGTAGTCAGAGTTGTCTGAGCTTTTAAACGATCTTCTCTTGGAAATATCCATAAAATAATTGTATTTAACTTAATGCCATTGTAAGAGAAAAACTTGATTACGAGATTTTGGATGTGTTTTTTTTATCATTATAGACATATTGGAAAGTGGAGGGAGGGGTTTAAGTAGGAAAGTGGAACCTGGCACCAGACCAGGAAAACGCTAGGAAGAAGAAGAAGAAGACAGATTACCAGACGACCATATTGAGTCGACGAGTAACTATTGTGTCTTGTGGACGATAGGTTATGCCAATCCGTTGTCTACCGATAACAAATTTATTCAAACCATTTCTGAAGATATAGCCACACTCTGGGAGCATCATGGAGGGAATTTTATGGCAGAGCCAGATGATATCTTTGCCGGTGGCACAGGTGATATCTTAAAAAACAACGTCGAGTTGTTTTGTTGGGGGATTTAGGAATGCTTGCGTGTGGTTGTAGGAATGATTAAGATAGTTGATAATTACTTGGATAAGTATATGAAAATAAACGAATAACATATTAACATTATTGACTTGTTGAAACTATAGATATTTTTTAAACTATGTAGGTAGTTTGGACGAGTAAAATTAAACAATAGGTGATTAGCAGAAATTCAATATAAACGCAACAAAGATGGTAAATAAAAAAATAACAATATTAAAGCTAAAAATAATACAGCTATTTAATATGATAGTGATTTCAAATCAGTAAAACTAACTATATGAACTGATGATATTAACATACATTTGGCGGTTACATAAGCATAAAATCACAACACATGGTGACTACATAAAAAAAACTTTCAATGGAACACATAGATGAATTAAATTTGATTCGATAATTTGAGGTCGAAGCTCTTTGATTGCACTAGACCTTGATCGTGCCGCAAGACTGATAGACATAAATCAACCAATTGTCACTAAATTTAGTGTTCAAATTTGCGAATCATCATATTGCTTTTACGTTTAAGTGTGCACAAATAACTCTTCACAATTTTTAGAGAGTTTGTTCCAATTACTTTTCGACGTTCTATAACAATTTCTCTCTTTATAATATTTCCTCTAAATCTTTCTTCATTGCCAAAATCCTTTTTCGATCAGTCTTCTTTTTGATGCTACCTTTCTTCTTCTGTCTCGGTACTTTACGAGGAGTTGAAATCGCTAATGCGTTTTCGGAAAACTGTTTAATTTTATTATGTACATTACCGGCGAACGATATCAGAGCTACCGGTTTAGCTTTGGCCGATTCGCTGACTGGAGACTTTTCAAAAACCATTTTGGCTTCATTCACTGATTTATCATTTGTTTTGGACGTTTTGCTGTCATATAAAGACGTCACGGAACTACGCCGCGAGCTGTTCTCTGAATCAGACTGTAGTTTTAAAATATGTTTTTGAAATAATTCAATTTTGGATTTAGCTTTCCTTTGGCACACAATTACGTCTTTACTCATTCCACCTTTAGAATGGCCTTCGATATATGTTCTCAATTCCACCTTGGGTTTAGAAGTTTTCGGTATAATTTTGTCTTTCCTTGTCGGAACATTACATTTTATGGTGATGTCATTTATGAATCCTGATTTCGTATCAGGTTTCGATATTTTACTGTTGGACGTCCCTAGTTTGACTTGGCTCTCTGATTTGTTTAACTCGTTCGAAAATTTTGGCGTCTTCTTCAAAGATTTCGCTGCGGTAATTAAATCTGAACTCTTTATGTTATGTACACTGACTCTTTCTATTGATCCGGCACCGGATGATGATTTATCTTCGTCCTTAGAGAAACATGATGGGGTTTTAGATTTTTTACCTTTAACATCTCCGTCGTTGTCTTTATTTAGTTTTTCAACAAAATCATTAGTGACGATTTGATCTTCGCTACTTGACTCAGTGAAGGAAGTATCATTGTATTCTCCGGAATCTAAATGCTCTCTAAATATTCGTTCTAAGCTAAATTTTGCCATCATGGCCGTTTGCGAGTTCAAATCTTTGTTGGACCTTTCCACAATACTGGGTCCGACTTCAAGGTAATCCAGAAACGAGTTCGAAGCGGTCAATTCAGTTAGTTTAACGGGCAGGTCAGAAACGGAAGACTGAATACGACATGCAGGAGGCTCGTGATAGGTGAGTTCGCGACCACAACAGCTAAAATCGTCATTGCTACTCGCGTTCGGCGTTTGCGATTGGATGTCGGAAGCTGATATGCTATATTCACCTTTAGTGTCCAAGCTCAAATGGGAGCTGGCGCCGCGTTTCGCTTTGGGCGAGCCCCGGGGCGGGACAGGGGGGGGCACCCTTTGTTTTTGTGAGCCTTTTAAAACGGCCGGGAAAGCGATTTCCGACTCGTTCGCGGCTGAGGTCATCTTGATAGAAGAGTCGGTCGCTTTCGCTGCCGTCGAAACGGGAGACGTCGCTGAGGTAGGAGTAATATGAGCTGTGACGTCAGACAACGAAACTGAATGGAGAGAAACCAAAAGCGTTTTGTTTTTTTTTACATGATTTATTCAAAAGTGTATAAACAAAATTTGGCACATTAAAATTTATTTTGTGTCGTGACGGAAGCAAGAGTTACAATGGAAGTACGTTCGGTTAATTATTCGTTCATATATCCAAAATGGCGTGTTTAAATTTGTATTTTTTGGGTTGAGCTTGACCGTTTAACGTGTCGTATCATTTTTATTTGGCAAGTAAGCAAATATCAAATGCAATAAATATATGTGTATGTGTATAAAGCATGCGTTACCCGATTACGGGTATCGAAATGAAATACGAAGTCACCCAATACAAAGATCCGATTGAGGTCGACGCAGCATGGAACGGAAGGAAATATATGAAAATCTTTTTTTATTTCTTAATTTTTTAACTAAATATTGTTGTCACTTCAATAAATATTGAGAAGCGAAAAGCGTAGCAAAGGGGTGTTTCGTTAATATATGAAGACGTGATTATTAGACATGTCGTCTTTTCGCATTGAAAGTGTACAATTTCGAAAAATATTCGTAATTGAGTAAATATGCAGAATCATTTGGTATCACCAGTATTTTCCTAATAAATACTGTCAAAAGAGCGTAGTTTAGTTTTAGTTTTTAGTTTACCCATGTTTTGACTACTATTAACAAAATTAATACATAAATTTATCTTACTTTAAAAGACAGATAATGTAACTGATAAAAAATAAAAGTTGCAAAGATGATTAATATTAAAAATATCACATGTTAAGCCCTTTAAAACACTCTCCTGTAAAATTAGTAAGTTTTGAGATTATACAGTTTTAATGCGAGAAGACGATGTGTTTTTGCAAGCTCTTAACGTTTGATTAAAATATGATTAACATTATACGTAATCTTTTGATGGTAAACAAGTCAAATAATATAGGAGTCGTGAAACAGTTTAAGCCGAATAGAAGCAGCAGTTTTTTATTTGATCCACAAACACAATAATATATGATGCCATTATGCCATTTTCTTGTTACTTGATTATCGAAGGCAAAATTAAAGGCGTCACCCACTTTGAGAAATGGGTTTTAACTATTTTATAATCTAATGAAACCAGACTTTGTTCTTGTAATAATCGAAATGGTATCCAATAGGTCCATGCTACCCTGACAACACCAATAGTTACGCAAATCTGAACCCGTTTTCGTGAACATTCCCTAGTTGATGTTTAGATAAGTCGTCGTGGCTTAAAGGATAAGACACCCAGTGCATTTGTATTGAGCGAGTGTGCCAGAGTTCGAATCCCGTAGGCGGTTACCAATCTAATGAAACTACCTAGCTCATATTTACCGATTCCTTCCACCGTAAAGGAAATAGCATCGTGCAATAAAAAACAAACCGTCAAAAATTATAATTTGCGTAATTACTGGTGTTAAGACGTCTTCTGATACAATCATCCTGCCTATTTCTGCCGTGAAGCAGAAATGCGTTTCGATTTGAAGGATAGGGCAGCCGTTGTACTATAAAACTGACAATTTAGAACCCATGTCTGAAGGTGGGTGGTGGAATTTACGTTATAAATGTCTATACGCTCCGGTATCTACTTAACACCAAATGGGCCGTGAGCTCAAGCAATACAAAAAAAAACGATTGAAAAAAAAAGCGTCGCTTTGAAAGTGTTTTAATTCTTGCAGCAAAGAATTGTTTAGCAGCGCACGTAATGTATGTATGCCAATGTGTGATCAGAGTACAATAATAGCCAATCTAAAAAAAAACCTCAATAATTTTGATTAACCTTTGCTAAGCTTTTGTCTCCCTTTTAAATTAAATTTAAATCATTGACTGCTTATCAAATATATGAATATCCAAAAACATGAACCAATTTTGGTTTTAATAAAAAAATATACGGAAGATTATCCGTAACGATGATCACGATTTATCTATAGTCCATTCCAATTACGAAGTCCCATATGACAGATGTTGTTATTATTACTAGAGGTCCCCCGCAGTAGTCGGAATTCGACTATAATTAATTGGAATTGTAAGTTTGTACACTATTATGATTGTATTTTATACTTCTATTATCACAAATTTCGCCAAGACTATACTAATAAAAAAATATTAACAAAGACAAAAAATATATAATCTATTCTCAATTTGACAACAGACGTCAAGAACAAAAGTTTGACAATAAATAGTATGCATGCGTGTGTGCGTCAAATACATTGTATGTAGTGTGTGTAATGTTTTCTTTATTGATTTAATGTATCTTTTATGCATTATTTAAAAAAAATATTAGCATTGTGCACTTCTATATTCTCTATAAGTGTGGAAAATTTCATACTCCTCCGTCCGCGCAATTTTCGTAAAAAGGGATACAAAGTTTTTGCTTCACGTATTAATATATATGATGTTATTGTATGTGTGTAAATTAAGTGTATAATGATTTAGATTGATTGTGTATTTTTTAAACGATGATTTACGACCATGAACAAAAAAGGATTACTATTTCAAATCATGCGAAACGTGAAGACTTACGTTCCAAGAAGTATCAAAAGGGACTTCGTAATTGGAATAGAGTAAGTATATATATTTATTTATTTATTTATTATTGCTATGTGGGTGGACGAGCTCACAGCCCTCCTGGTGTTAAGTGGTTACTGGAGCCCATAGACATCTACGACGTAAATGCGCCACCCACCTTGAGATACAAGTTCTAAGGTCTCAAGTATAGTTACAGTATACAAGATCTTATCATAATAATAAACGCGTGCTCATAGTCACCTACGAATTTCGCATTACATTGACGCTAAAAACTCGTAGGTACATTCCTTTAATTTACATTTTAAATTAATATTTGATCAGCATTCAAGAGAATTTATTCATTTTCTTATAGATACATATCGAATTTTAGAACCAACGATCGCCCGGTTCCAATATTCGCTGCCCCGAGAACCGGCAATGGAAAACACAAAGCACTGACCCTCACCTGCTTTGATGCTGACACCGCTCGAACTCGCGCCACCTATCCGTTCGTCAGCGTGAAATAAACGATCCTTATATGACCAAAATTTATAAATATAATTAAAATTACTTTTACGATTTGTTCCCGCGCATTAGCCACGTTCCGAATACTTTATAGTTTCCGTGATCACAGACGACTCCGTAAAAGCATTTTTAATTTAAAATATAATACTAATAATAAATTAAAAAATATATACTTGTATACATACATACTATAAGGGCACTGTACGTATGTCCGTTTACGGGAAACAAAACAATTTTTTTATTTTTTTTATTGCTTAGATGGCTGGACGACAGCCCACCTGATATTAAGTGGTTACTGGAGCCCATATACATCTAAAACGTAAATGCGCCACTCACCTTGAGATATAAGTTCTAAGGTCTCAGTACAGTTACAACGGCTACCACACCCTTCAAACCGAAACGCATTACTGCTTCACATGAGAAATAGGCGGGGTGGTGGTACCTACCAGTGCGGACTCACAAGAGGTCCTACCACCAGTAATAAAATAATTAAAACCAATTAAATTACATATTCAAACTTGTATTTATTCAACAATATCAAACATAATACATACATTTTAAAGGTTTTGGTATTATTAACGTAAATTCATTACAATTTTACTAGCTGTTCACAACGTTAAGGGCGAGAGAGGGGACGGGGGAAGGCAGCGGGAGGAGGATGCGCCCGCGGCCTAAGATTCGTGTCGGTCGACCAGCAGCGTGACACGCGTCAACATTTTTTGTTAAATAATGTATTTTAAAAGTAATTAAATAAAACTATCAAAATTCTGTCATGCGTGGTTTCTACTTCACCATCGTCATGAACACTAGCCACATTACAACGGGAGCTTTTCGGGATATTTTTTTTCGTGTAATGTAAGCGCTTAATGATAAAACGTCCAAAGTACAGGTTTAAAGCCCCCATATGAAAGATCTACAGTGGATTACAGGAGTTAATGGAAATTTTCAAATGATTCCCATATCGAGACGTGAGTAGTAAGCCAGTGCCGACTGCTTCATGGCTTATAGAGATAAGACACACCTCCGCGGGCCGACCGTGCCTTATTTACGCAAATTTATCAATTTTTATAATCCGGTCACAAAAATCAAATCGCATTCGGTTTTTAATATCAACATCACACACTGTATAAATTGTACGAGAGGTTAAGCCTTCGTCAAACAGAACGCGTACTTAGCGCCGCGTACTTAACGTCGCGCTCTTTTCATGTCACACCAATTGACTAGATGAGTCTAACGCTCCTTGACGCAACGCATTCGCCAAATCATAGTGCCTTTCGATAGCAGTGTGAAAATTTAAAAGTATTAAGAAATCGAGTGATTCAGATGTGGCATTGTATAAGCGTGGATATTTTCTAACTATTTATATCATTTTTTCGGGCATTATCTAGTATTTTAATACACATTCACTCCGACGCTAAAATAAAATTTGTAAAAAATTACAACGCCTGACGTCAAGGCGTCCTAACGCCGCGACAGAGCGCTGCGTACTTATAGCGCTGGGGCTCTGTTTGACGGTATGTTACCATAGTAGTACAACACATCTCGGCGTCATAGCGCGGCGTCAATTTAGCGCTCTGACGCGCGCTAATTACGCGTTCTGTTTGACGAAGGCTTAAGATCGTAAGGAATGAGTGTTACGCAAATTCTGACTGCACACTAAAATCTCATCTAAATTTGGAAGGTCGAGTTTCAACAATACATAACCAAGTGTTTTTTTTTTTTCGTACTAAAACCAAATCTTTTTTGGACCTTTAAGAACTTTGTCGAACATCCTGTATGTGTCCGGAAAATATCCGAAAATCGACTTTAAATACAACGCGCCAATAATATCTAATGCTTGAAAGCTAATAGACTAAAGTGCCCTAATTTAAATATACCCTACCATCTGTTTAGGGTAATCCTAAACATAAAATTTTGTATTAAGGTTTTTAAATGTGGGAACACACTAATAAGTATGGCAACACAGTTAGTTGCAGTTGCACACAAAAATACAGTCCACGCTCTAAAGACCATCTACGGGCTTGTAAAATTATTTCAGAAATAAATAAATTAAAATTAGCATTTTTTAATAAAATTAAGTGTCATTTATTTTGTAACATTGTAAAATATTTACTCAGGTCGGGAATGTTTGTATATAGTAACTATTATTTATATATGTAGACTAATGCAAACGAAAATATTGCAAGTTTAATGACAATTTCATTTAGTGATATTCCATAATTTTTTGCATTAAAAATAATTTATAAGATTTTAGTTATGTTTTTCTATTGACATTAGTGACTATAGTTTAGTTAATTCGGATAGGTCCTTGTCTTTTCGGTTTTGGAACCGACTCCTTTAAGCCCTTTCATCAATAATAAAAATGAGACAAGCCATAGAAAAAATTAATAGTGTCATTGCCCTTTCGGCTTTGGGACCGACTCTTTTAAGCCCTTTCGACAATAATAAAAATGAGATAGGCCATAAAAATAAAACTAATAGTCTTCTTGTAACCGTCTTAAAATGATGTGATAATTCACTGTGAATAAGTTTCTAAGTATTCTTTTTGTAAATAGGGAACAGTTACATTATATTAGGCTCCTAGTGTCTCCGATACGATTTTATTAATTTAATTCGAATAAATATTTAAGGTAACAATTGAATACTTGATTTCATATTGCATAATACTATTCTATCCATATATAATCCATTTATTTATTCAGCAAAATATCGTTCAGTCGAAACATTCATACAACTCGCAAATGTGACAAGAACATTTATGTATTGCATATTTATTTTTTATAATAGTTCAAAGATAAAAGTTACTTCCACATACAAATTATATCGACGCTTGAAAGGCAAACATGACTAAGCGACAATAACTGCTTTGTACATAAATGATAGGCAATAAACCATATTCGATGCGCAAAAAATATATATTTCTAGGTCTATTAAAATCATTTCAATCCTACAGCTACTAGCTAGATTCTACTACAGCTAGATTCGTTAAAATAAATTTTGTTTTCAGGTATTTCAACTTTAAATTAGTCTACTGTAATGTTCACGCATTGTCGCTTAGTCACGTTTGCCTTTCAAGTATTTCAAGGGTCCATATATATGTTAAGGACATAACAGATACGTGTCTGTCCATTGATGTGCAAGACCTTAAAGCATTACGCGAAAAGTACGGACACATTTCGATGAAGCCTTTTACGTTTAAGCCGTAACGACAAGCTCACGGCTCCCCCGGCGTTAAGTGGTTACCGGAGCCCGTAGACATCTACAACGTAAATGCCGCTACCCAGTATTAAGCGGTAGGCAGCGGCTTGGCTCTGCCCCTGGTATTGCTGAAGTCCATGGGCGACGGTAACCACTCACCATCAGGTGGGCCGTATGCTCGTCTGCCTACAAGGGCAATAATTTTTTTTTATCAACATACGAGTTATAAGGACTGAGTTTTTAACATTACAACGGCTTCCCCGCCCTTTAAACCGAAACGCATTACCGCTTCACGGCAGAAATAGGCAGGGTGGTGGTACCTACCCGCGCGGACTCACAAGAGGTCCTACCCAGCCGTCTTAACTATACTGAGACCTTAAAACTTATATCTCAAGATGGGTGGCGCATTTACGTTGTAGATGTCTATGGGCTCCAGTAACCACTTAACACCAGGTGGGCTGTGAGCTCGTCCACCCACCTAGCAATAAAAAAAAAAAGTTTCTCGCCGGATCTTTCCAGTGGGTCGCGTTTCCGATCCGGTGGTAGATTCTGCAAATCACGGCTCTTGCTAGGGCTAGTGTTAGCAACACTCCGGTTTGAGCCCCGAGAGCTCACCTACACGCTAGGGTAGAGCTGAAATATCCTCTCAAGGCTATCAGCATAGGTAGGGAAAAAAATGATAAATTCAAAAAAAAAAAAACAAGATTTTTAAGTCGATACCTATCTACCGATATTTGAGACGTAACTACATAGATACGAGTTCTCGGAGCATCTTAATTATAAAACTACAATAATCAAAGTGATGTGATTTAAATAAAAACATCGATAAAATTCCAATGTTGAGTTTATATTTGTGACAACATGAACACTTTCACTGCAGGAATGTAAGTTTAAACACATTCATACGGATACCACTTTAAAAGGCAAACTTTTTTATTTGTTATCGGTCACTCATCTATAGTTATCAATCCTATTGTCTTTTACATAAAATAATAATAATTTGAGTGATTTAATAAAAAATTTATAAAAAAAAAACTTTTAACTCTTTCCCACATATATAAAAATGAGTCAATAAATAAATGACTAATGAAACAACTAATTAAGATATTTAATGTTATCGATAGAAATTGTCGTTCAAACAAACTAAGAAAACAGTCATTTCTTTCCTTTCCAACATTAAATACAATTAATCTTTATTCGTATTCATATAATAACCATTTTCCATTAACTTTTCATAATTTAAGGATCAAACCAAAATTGGAATACCTAAGCACACTGAACCCCGTTCGCATCGACCATTCAAGTCAAAATAAATATACAAAATCAATTCAAATTCATTTGTGACACTACGTATTCCGTAAATAAATTTATTACGGACAAACAAATTTCGAATATTTAGTAATAATTTAATTATCGACACGAAACAATATCGATATTTAGGACAACACCATTATTTATAAACTACAACATTGTGTTTGAAAAGACGAAAGTGCAAATTTGGATTTTAATTTTCAAGATAAAATTTATTAATACTTTTTGAATAATACATAGAAAAAACATAAGACTTAATATAAAATATATATTTATAATTGAATTTTGATTCGTCTCCCTTGTATTAACGTAAACAAAATGGCCTACTCCGGTCATCTTTCAATTACACAGGGTCTTGAATCATAAATATTGAACTCACATAAACAACTTACATAAAATTTTATTTATATATATATTATTTCAACTTATTAAGTAATAAAGTTTGTACAGTACAGCCAAGGACAGAAATACAACAGGAATAACGTGTCTAAAATCTGCTTAGAACCACTAAAAGAACCGCATTGCGTATTTCTAACATTCACCTAAAATACTTTATCGATAATAATAATATCGACACAGTGGACCATCACTAATCTACGTGGATCGATTTAATCGACTTTTATCGTGATACCACAATTACAGATAACGAGAAAGCATCGATTAAACTACTATCGTCTACTACGGAAATACATATTGAGAAAATCGAAAAAAATTCAATGAAACAATCGAGTCGGTAATCGATATTTTCTCGATAAAAAATAAATAATCGAAAATCAAATTCGGCATTCAAGCACTATACGATTTTTTCAGTCTGCTGGCGGTATTACGATAATTGTACTACCGCTATCCTTGCCGGTGTATATCTCGGCTTTATCGATACTCTTGATGTAGACGATTTCTTTTAGAAACTTCTCAGAGTCCTCACACTTTACGTGCTCGTCTCCGTTGAGTTGCACGACGGAGACGTGTTGCTCTTTAGTCTGCGGCGGAGTCTGGACCTCCCTGTCTCTCAGCAGCGGCGACTCTTGCCTTATGTACACCGTCTGCGTGGACCTGACTTTACGGAACCTCATATCCTTGGGCAGCGTGGACGTTTCGCGGGTCTCCAGCGAAGTTGGGGTCGCGCTTCTCGTTCTGTAACTGGAATTGAGGCTCTTCGGTAGAGTGTTGGCGTCTCTTTCCGTGTTCTCGACCTCTGGTTTGACGAGGCCTATATCGGCGAAGAATTTCTTGAATTTCTCGACGAACGTTGGCGATTTCGCTCGATTGAGGCTGTTCGTGAGGCGTTCTTCGGCGAGCTCCTTAGCTGTCTCCTCGACGCGTTCCGGTATGTTGGACATGCTCTTGTGCTTCTCAATGTTGGCCCTGCGTTTCCACCGGACGTCGTCGTCGTCGTCTATGAACGGTATGTCCTGGAGATTGTTCTCGTTTCGGGTATCGACGGCCGCGTCTCTGAGCTCCTTCAGCGGTGGTCCGACGTTCGCCTCCGATACGTATATCTGNGCGAGCTCCTTAGCTGTCTCCTCGACGCGTTCCGGTATGTTGGACATGCTCTTGTGCTTCTCAATGTTGGCCCTGCGTTTCCACCGGACGTCGTCGTCGTCGTCTATGAACGGTATGTCCTGGAGATTGTTCTCGTTTCGGGTATCGACGGCCGCGTCTCTGAGCTCCTTCAGCGGTGGTCCGACGTTCGCCTCCGATACGTATATCTGTGGCACGCTGGTGCTAGTGTTGTCCGTCTGTATGCCGCTGTCGGCTAAGCTACCATTGATGTGTGAGCTCCCGGCCCCGGTGCTCAAAACCTTCGTCAGCTGTTCCGAGAGCGTCTCCATCCGTTCCTGGACGTTGGACCGGTACGCGTTGTCGGCGTAAAATGCCGACGAGGGTCCCGGATCGCGCGCCGTTAAGTTCGAGGTGTCGAAATCGATACGCCTCTGGTAGTTATTGATTCTGTCCCTGTCTAGTATTTTCAGTCTGTCGGAAAGGACCGAGGGGTATTCGGCGGGCGCGGGCGGGTGACGCTGGTTCCACGTCGATATGGTCGTATCGGTAAAATCGCTCATGCTAGAACGTACCGAAGACCTGGGCGACAGTCGGGCCTGTCTCAGATAATCCGGATTGTAATCTTTGATAGGTCGCCCGATGAAGCGTCCTGAACAACATACGCCCGTAATTAGTATAATTTCGACCTTGTTTTTTTTTTTTTAAATTACATTTCAGTTTATTTTTCTTTGCCCCCGGATTCGACACGGTCGTGCTGTTACCGATGATCACCAGTGGATGAACGTTAGCACACGTAATAAATATAATAATAAAAAAACACATCACAAAAAAAACGTACGAACGCGAATATAAAGTGTATATATATTTATTTGCGAACGAGAGTCACATAATATTCAAAATCCGACAAAACGAACGACTTCACAACAGCGGACACAAACACCGGGAGGGGAAGGGGGGTTGGGGGTGAGAGGGAGCGGGGAGAGAAAAATAATAAACTGAAATGTATAATAATAATAATAATTAAGGTACCAAAAAAAACAATTCACGCATTCAATGTTAGGGTTGGGTTATAACTAACTTCAACTTGTAAAAATAAAAATATAAACAATACTGGTTAATAATAAGAAACTAAGGTTAGTTTAAAAAAAAAAACGGGCAAACGGATACTGAGCTGACAAATATCGACAAAAATGCCAAAATTCTTTTTTTTTTAACGTTTACAATAGTCTACCGATCCAGCATATCGGTTATTGTCAAGTCAATATTCCTGTCAATACCGTATTAGCGAACAAAGAAAACAACAACCGTACCTGGCGTATCGATTTCCTCTTGTGGCCGCGACGGCTTCGCGATGCTCTTCCGCTTCGAAGGAGAGTGTTTCAGGGCTGTCCAAGGGAAACATTAAAATATTATAATGAGATTTTATTGGAAAATGGGGGTAGTTATTGAAATGTTATTGTGTTTTTTTTTGAAGGTAGTCGAAGATAAACGGTTCATGTTTTTTTCGGAAGGTACAAATTCGTAAAATTTTTAAATTTTTTTAATTTATTTTCTTTGTATTAAGTAGCCGTAATACTTTTCTTTATATATACAAGCAAATATCGAATTGAAAATTTTGGGGTTTTTTTTTTTAATTAACATTCAATAAAGTTGCTTCTGGTAAACGTAAAAACTTATACTACATTATACAATACCGTCAACACAATAACATTACAATAAATGTGAATTAAAAAAAAAAAAAAACGCGAAAAAATAAACAAATCTCACTAAATTCGCAAAACAAAGCTTTTGCCATTTTCGATTAAATTTTGTATCAGTCAGCATTTTTGCAAATCATAATTTACAAAATCAATTGAAAAAAAGCTTCCATTATAATTGGTTACAAAGTTTTTAATAAGATAAATAATAGTGCCAATAACATTGGTATAGCGTATTAAAAAAAAAAATTATAATAATAATAGCAGTGTTCATATTATTTTTTAAATAAACAGTTAAAAAAAAAAGTTAAATAATAAATGAAAATTTAATAGAAGAAGTAAATGAATTTCATATACAAAAGAAAAAAATTCAACAATAGTCCGAAAACGACAAAAAAAAAACAAGAAAAAAAAACAACGTGCATTCATATCAAAATTCGATAGGACAGAGAAAAAACATCATTAAAACTAACTATAAAGAGAGATAGATGTATGTGTTGTAGATAACGTACATACATACACTATACGACATATTTGACGTTAATTATCTCTTTCACTCGTATCGTTAGGCAGTAGGTGCGAGCGAGTAAGATGATTAAAATCAAACGCCCAGAACACGAACAACTACTGAACAGTCGAGTCGAAGGAGCTCGATAGAGATGGAGCTAGTGAGCCAATGACGTCAGCAAACTACGGGGTAGCACAAATCACAAAACTTCCATTCAAATCAAAAATTGTTATAAGATTTTTTTCATACTATTATCGAGTGAGATAGAGATAAAAAAAAGTCACTTTAATACGTAACTTTACCTATAAAATTTTATCAGTCAGAGTCTTGATGCTTTGATAGCGAATTCAATTTCGACACATACATATTTCTAAAGCATTTTCTTTTACCGGTGTAAGCATTAAAGGAATCTTTATAACAATTTCCATTATAAAAACAATATACGGAAAACCTCCGACAATATTAACGGAGCACTCGACGGGAGAGAGAGGGAGAGAAAAATCGATTGACAGTGAAAGAGCATGGACATTAAAATGATTTGAAAAAAAAAAAANGAATTCAATTTCGACACATACATATTTCTAAAGCATCTTCTTGTACCGGTGTAAGCATTAAAGGAATCTTTATAACAATTTCCATTATAAAAACAATATACGGAAAACCTCCGACAATATTAACGGAGCACTCGACGGGATAGAGAGGGAGAGAAAAATCGATTGACAGTGAAAGAGCATGGACATTAAAATGATTTGAAAAAAAAAAAGAAGAGGAAAAAAAAACATGCCATTCTCCCAAACAAATAAACGGACGGGGAAACTTACTGAGACCTCCACGGACGCGAGCGAGTATCCGATTACGGACAAATGGTGGGGAAAGAAAAATAAAAAATAAAGATATTATTTCCATTTAAATTAATAATTGTTTTTTTTTTTCGTCAAAAACGTCTACGTATCTCGGAACGAGGGGACGTGCGTGATTTAAAAAAAATAATAATAATAATAATACATAATAAAAAATCGACATGCCTATTTTAAAAAGAAAAGAAAAAAAATGTCTTGTCGGTACTTTAATGTCGGCTATATTTGAGTACAATTCACACGTTATGAGTATATTTTTAAACGATTTATAAATTACTAGCGACCAGCCCTCGCTTCGCTTCGGAAACTGTAATTTATTATTGATTTCTTCACTATTTAATGGATGTTATTATACATATAAACCTTCCCCTTCAATCGCTCTATCTATTAAAAAAAACCGCATCAAAAACCCTTGCGTAGTTTTAAAGATTTAAGCATACATACAGAGAAAGCGACTTTGTTTTATACTATGTAGTGAAGTAAGATATTTTCCACAGAGCGTACAAATAATAGACACAGCAGTCGCTTGGCAATTATTATTAAAGACATTTTTCATGAACACAAACTTCTCCAATTTCGACAATTTTTATTTATCACACGCAAAATATAGTAATACAATTTGGGAAACTTTTAATACGCTTGATGACTTAAGTGCGATTCGTAGTGATAGTATTCTTTTTCTATAAATTTTACGTCATTAATGAGTCAAACATTTAAATTCTTTTTTTTTATGATTGAAGGATTACTGGTGGCCCGGAGGCCTTTCCAGTTACACCAGGACAGGTGGGCGAGCGGAGGCTCAGCCAGGAAGGGGTGGGATTTGCTAACAGCTGCCCGAGCGCCTCCGAAGGAGACCTAACAACTCAAGAGCAGCTGCTTCGCGAATGAATCTACTACCGGATCGGAATCGCGACCCACTGAGAAGATCCGGAAACTCAGTGGGTTCATTAACACTATAGGATGACGTTTCATGAATGACCGAACTTTTTTTATTTTATTAATTGCTTAGATTGTTGGACGAGCTCACAGCCCACCTGGTGTTAAGTGGTTACTGGAGCCCATAGACATCTACAACGTAAACGCGCCACCCACCTTGAGACTAAGTTCTAAGGTCTCAGTATAGATACAACGGCTGCCCCACCCTTCAAACCGAACCGCAGTACTGCTTCACAGCAGAAATAGGCAGGGCGGTGCGGACTCACAAGAGGTCCTACCACCAGTATAAAAGACTGGAGCCGATTGATTACAGGCGATATGTCTTTCCAGTACAATCAATACTCCTAAAGCGCATTACTTCTACTTTTTATGCAAGGAGTTTATTTTTTTAATACATATTTTTTTTCAATCAATCAAATAAAAATTAAATAAGCCGATTGACAAATACCGACAAAGCATCTTTTGGGAATTCTTTATTGAATTAGTAAAACAATTAGTTTGTCATTACATATGTTAATAGTAAAAAAAAAAAAATTAAAACAAAATAAATGAACAAACCCTCTAATTCATGCCTAAATTATAAAATGAATAAAAAAGAACGTAATGTTTGTAATAAAATATAAAAATGCCTTTTATAAATGTATTTCACAGTATGGGTGCTGGTGTCGCTTGATTTTTAATAACTTTTCAATCAAGATATAAGACCAAAAAATATTATTTTCTCTCTTACCAAAAATATTTATGTGCACTTTTTAGCATTTTTCTTTCTCTTCACCGTTATACGACTCCCCATGATTTGAAAATTTGTAAACACATCAGATACCGTTGACAAAACAATAATTTAATTTCTTTATCATATTTTTTTTGTTTGTTTTTTTCCTAGCTATGCTGATAGCCTTCTCTCGGAGCTCAAACCAGAGGTGTTGCTAACACTGGTCCTAGCAAGAGCAATGCTTCGCAGAATCTACCACCAGATCGGAAATGCGACTCACTGACAAGATCCGGCGAGGAACTCAGTGGGCTGTGTCTATGGATTAATTTACTCGCCGAATCCTTCGTCGCTCGCGACGGGTTCGACGAGGACGGTGACCGGTGCTTGAGGTACCTAAAAACACCGTTAATGGATCGGAAGGATACGTGATGACGTGTTAAGGGCGACGTTGACTGTTTATCATTCGGTCCACAGGATTGAGTATAATATATTTAATAAAAATAAAGTATTTATATTTTCAAATCGTCTTGCTTATTAAACATGTTTTTCTTTTAGTTCCTTTTTTAAGCTATATTCATTTATTTTGGTAAATGTTTAACGGGACCCGTCAGCATCGCATAGTAAATACTTTCAGTCAATGGACTAAACAAACTGAAATACTTTCAGACTGGACACTTAACTGCACAGTCTCAATTCTATTTGTATTACAGTTAAACTCAAAGATACAAAGAAAACGCACCCTTATCGGCTGAAATAAGCAATTTCACACACCCCAAACGCCACAAATGAATTTTACTGTATTGAAACTTTGAATTTAAATTAAATGGATAAATTTAAAAACTTTACAAAATAAAATTAGAACATTTTTATTTTTTATTTTAACGTGTCGTTTTTGCTGTCGTCACACCAACACCCATAAATGTATCACTACACACACAATATACACAAAACATAGGCTTGGCCACCCTACAGTACCTATGTAACTAGTGACGAGGGTTCGGAACTTCCTGTGGTTGCCCTTGATTTCCGGCAGGTCCACTGCGGAGCGCGTTTACAATAACATAATACATTGTTTCATATCATGGAAGTATATAGTCTCAAATCGAATTGTATTCTTATTTAAAGATTCAATATGGTTTAATTTTGTTTTTAATTTTTTAATCATTAATTACGGACTAATAAACTCCATGATACAAAAGATGGTGTCTTGTTTCATATTTAACAACTCACATCTCTGATAAAATACACTTAGTTTGTCTATCATAGTTAATATAGGATGTTGACTGCACATATATGTAGAACTCATGAACGAAAGAAAATATACAGGAATCATAAGAGTTATAGAGAGAAAGACAGAAAGAGAGACGGGAGAGAGCAAGAGAGACGGGAGAGAGCAAGAGAGACGGGAGAGAGCAAGAGAGACGGGAGAGAGAAAGAGAGTACTATTCACATAACATCACACCTTACGTGCGCCATATCTTAAGGAATTACACCGAGATCTTCTATTGACTTTTGTTCGGTAGGACGACGTACAGAATTTTATTAGTTTAGCACTTGTTTTATGCAAGTATATTTTGAAAATGACGTCACAGTCCTATATGTTACGTCGCTACAAATACGTCATTACAGACACCCACTTTAGGAGTAATTTGTTTGGCAATTTGCATAACCTACAGAGAAATGTATTCTGTCTTATCTCAGGACTTTTTGGCGGGAACGCGAGGAGTGAAGTTGTGTGATTTGTTTTATTTTGTCTATTTATTGTTTCTTCAGATTTAAATGTTTAATAACGGTGGTTTATTAACTGTTTAATATCTGTCAAAGTGCGCAAATGTGGGAAAATGAAACAAAGCCGCTGGACGCAACTTCTCGGGATCCTCCAAAAAGTCCACTGAAAAAATCTTAGTAAACGACCACCATTTTACTAAGATTATATTTCATCCCATATCATCTCATTTCATTTAATTTCATCCCAGTTGATTAATGTCTCAAATTAATCATTTTCATTTCATTTCACTCCATATTATCATTTTTCATAAAAACTATGAATATAAATTAAAATAAGACATGACTTAAAGGTCTTAGTTACCAGGTCATAAAATCACTTAAAAAAAAAGTCTTATCTCAGAACAGTTGTAGAAGTTTGTTTTTTGAAGTAAATACTGTCATCTACCTAATTAAACCGAGAAAGTTAAAGAAAGTAATAATTAAAATTGTACTGTTTGCAATAACAAAAAAAAACGTTCAAATTTTTCATCGCCAATTGAATTTTTTATAATTATCAATGTGAGCGCTAATTATAGAAACAAAACACCATTTCATTCGACACGTGATTAGTAAACAATTGGTTAGAGATTTGGTTTTAGTATGAACATTTCGAAATTCCAAGAATTTTATTTGGATCATCATCGTTGACTGCTTTGACCGACTTGAGCAAAAAAAAAAAAAAAAGAAAAAACGAAGTGGTTTTAAATTCGGCACATATGGTTTTTACACGCTATTAGTTAAATTGTCCTATATACAATATGAATTGGTACAGGAATACATGGTATATTTCGATAAAAATTTCATTCAGTTTGTATCTATCATCTTTTTAATCGATTTTTTTGCAACATCCAACCAACTTGAAGGAAGGCGACCAAAATTCAACTAGATCATGCTTATTAATATTAATTTTATTTACTTGTAAAATTCTTGAAATTTCAAAACCGAGAGAGAGAGCAATACTTACGAAACATCAGTTACCGAGAAAACTAGAGACGTGGTTAGCGGAACAGTTAAAAGGGATTCATAGGGTCACGTAAAAATATTTAACGTAGCCCCTTTGTATATACGTACATATATATAATTTCAATTAATATTGCTTGTCCAAAGTGACAACCCTGATCTGTGTGACATGAGCAAAAAAAAAAACGAAATCTTTAGAAAATTAATTATCGATAATATATACAAAGTGGCTACATCTATCGACATTTACGAGGTTCATTTTGGATTCATTATACACTTTTATAGCCGAGGACGCTAGCTATAACGTAAAATGATCAAAGCATTTTCTAATGAACGGGAACTTGAAGTTTTTGAGAGGAAACTTATCGAAACATCGACCAATATCGATAATTAATATCGATTTTAGATTGTTTGTAACTTAATCGAATTCATGTCTCTGGATCTGATTTAATCATATATTACATACGTGATTCAATATGTATTACTATAATATAATATATAAATTGTATTATTGAGGAGTCAGTATGATACTTACACGAAGGTATCTTCTTGAATACAGTTTTAGCCATGAAATCTAAGAACCTCTGAGCGTAGAAGCTGGGTCTGTGGACCGATACAGTGTCCTGGAAAACAAGAAACAATGCTTCTATAATCACAAAACACTGATAATACACATATGCAAAAACATCGATAAACATTTTCTTTTATCTCTAACTCTATTTTAACCTTGAGCTTATTTTCACATATTTTGCAGAAACCGCCAAAAGATTTTTAAAATAAAAAAAATTAATAATAATTACGGCTCAAAATTGTTAGCAAAATAATATTAAATGGTTATTTAAAAATGTTATAAGTTATACGTGCGCAAGCTAAGACACGTCCGTACAGATTCAGATCTAATACTTATAATCAAACTGTGCAATAGTCGATATCTTTACCGTTGTACATTTAGTAATTAACTAGCTTTAGTACAATACGACCGACGTAACTTGGCGAATCCGAACTTCGCGCAGAAGGCTGCGCACAAACGTTTTTAGGAACCAAATGGTGGTATGAGCAACGTGCGCGGGGCGGAGGTCTAGGCTAGGGATTGACTCTATGTAAACACAACCGTCCCTTTATTCAATCAAATATCGCAATCGATCTTTATCGGTTTGGAATTTATTGATTTTTGTTTATATGAGATAATGAATGAAATAGATTTACAAACATATTGAATGTTGTCGTTAGTAAACGAGACTTCATCTTTAATAAAAAAAAAACTAATTACACTTTATTTTCTTGGTTGAAAGACATGATTTAGTTGAATATCAGTTATTTATCAACAACTACTACAATAGGGACTGTTCGTGAATATTTTAAACCTCCTATAAAATGGAATATAAATATATATTTTTATATAAATTTTAATCAATTTGAAAAAAAATCGATTAAATAACATCCTCAAACACGCATATTGGACATCCCTTTTCTTGACATCGTATAAATTCGTAATTCTCGGTATGCGGTAATGTGTCTCACTCACACGATAGCATTAGTGTCGTGTTCGTGTCGCTATCTCTGTCTTGAGTACGGGCGGCTACAAAAGTTTTCATTGATTTGTTATTATTATACTGTTTTTGTTTAGTGCTCAGTTTTTTGTTTAGTTTTAAGATTGTTTTAGTATTGAGTGTCCCTTGGCATTTATACTATTCGTTAACAAAGATGCCACCAAAGCATAATAGTGTTTTAAATCGACGGCCGACAAACATAATTTTTGATTTTTTTTTTAAAAAGAAAAAGAAGAAGGCGTAAAAGATGTTGACAGTTTTATTTAGAGTTGCTAACGATCTGGTGTATCCCAACGCACAGTACAGCGGATCGCAACTGAAGGCAGTGTTCGGGCTTACTTTCGAATTAATTTAATTACGTTATTTTTACCGCTTTCTGTCTTAATTTATTATTCTTTTATTACCTCTCTTTAATTTATTACGTTATTTTTACGAGAGAAAGCTCTCTCATAGTATTTTGATATTCATTTTATTTGTACTTGGTCCCTGTATATGGAAATTTTAATTCGTATTTTGATTTAAAAAAATGAATGCTAATAACACTTTTTTTTACGAGTGTACATGCGCGAAAGTTGACCTGCGGCTATATTCAGACTCGCCAAGTTACGTCGGTCGTATTGTAATTAACCCCGTCCGCTTCGTTGACCATTTAAGATTAACAGTATTATTTCTCACCCCCCCCCCCACAAACATTCTCATCATTAACGCCCCCGCAACTGTTGTAGGGAGTCCAACACTCATATAAATATTAGCCTATCCATTAAGTAGATGTATTTTCTACATGGATACAAAGTTTCAAGTCAATCGGATGCACGGTTCAGTAGTTATAACGGGACATCCGTAAAAACCACTGTAGATTTATATATTAGTATAGATCAGTAATTAGCGTTCGGTTGTACAGCCCTATATTTTATATATGATGTCATTTCTGTGAAGTCACGAGCAGATAAAGCAGTAATGCGTTTCGGTTTGAAGGGTGAGGCAGCCGTTGTAACTATACTAAGACCTTAGAACTTATATCTCAAGGTGGGTGGCGCATTTACGTCGTAGATGTCTATGGGCTCCAGTAACCACTTAACCCCAGGTGGGCTGTAAGCTAGTCCACCCATCTAAGTAATAAAAAAAAAAGATGAGTTCACAACGCGAATGCCGCCATGAGGCATGAGACATGAGGTTGCAGTCTCGTTATCTCGTTCACGCAAAGCTCTAAAAAAACGATCGAGTACTCACGCCATCGTGTATCATGCTCTTCCAAGTATGCTCGAGCTTCTTCCGGAGACGATACGACTGGAGTATGTCGATGATGCCCAGGAACAGCAGCAGACGCTCGCCGCGCGCGTTCCGGGCCGGGATGCCGCCGGACCTGGTGTTGTCGAATCGATATTAAATCGAATGTATCAAATCGTTTGTAATGGGGACGGTGTATCGAGATGACGTCCTCGCGAGCTGGTATGGTCAACCAACCGATTTTTTTTTTAAAGTGATTTTATGGCCTGGTATCCAAGACCTTTAGGTCAAGTCTTATTTTAAAACGATAATATGAATTGGATTAATATGAAACATGGCATGTAATGTAATGAGATGAGATGATATATGATATGACATGGAATGAAATATAATCTCAGTAAAATGGTGGTCATTTACTGAAACATTTCCAGTTGACTTTTTGGAGGATCCCAAGAAGTTACGTCCAGCGACTTTGTTTTATTTTCCGACACTTGTGCACTTTCACAGATACCAAAAAGTTAATAAGCCACCGTTATTACACATTTAAACCCGAAGAAACATTAAATAGACAAAATTAAGCAAATCTTATCAAAATTTCACTCCTCGCTTCCTTCCCGCCAAAAAGTCTCAACCAACCGAGGCTCTGGACTGACTGGGTGGCGCGGTAGATAGCGCCCGCGATAGTTGCGCTACACACGCAGACTAGATTCTCATATCAAACATTAGCGTGATTTGTGTGCATTTTTCTTCTCTTCTTAGTCGAATACTTCATTGCTGAAGGTCGTGTCCTTGAAAGCCCTTCGTGGCTCTTTGTACCCTCAGCTTCCATTTGCTTCGGTTTTCGGCTTCTCTCAGGGCGTTCAGTGAGCGCAGTTATCTGTTCCGACCAACGGTTTGGTGGCCGGCCGGCGGGTCTTTTCCCTTCTACCTTGCCCACCACAATCAATCTTTCAATGTCTGGTGGCCGCCGAGCAATATGACCAAAGTAACCAAGAACCTTCTGGTAGGAAATCGTCGACAGTCTCGTTTCTATACGAAGTTGCTCGAGGACAGATTTGTTTGTTCTCTTGGCGGTCCACGGTATTTATTATCTATATCATACCCGATCCTGTGGACCGAATGGTTTATAAACAGATGACGTCGCCCTAAACACGTCATTACGGATCCACTAACGGTGCTTTTAGGTACCTCAAGCACCGGTCACCGTCCTCATCGAACCCGTCGCTTGCGACGAAGAACTCGACGAGTAAATTAACCCACAGACACAGCCCACTGAGTTTCTCGCCGGATCTTCTCAGTTGGTCGCGTTTCCGATCCGGTGGTAGATTCTGCGAAGCACGGCTCTTGCTAGGGTTCGTGTTAGCAACGTCGTCAAGTTTGAGCCCCGCGACCTCAACTACATGTTAGGGCGAAGCTGATATAGCCTCTCAAGGCTATCAGCTTAGGTAGGAAAAAATAAAATAAAGTAGAGTACTCACGGGACATCTTCCTCCTCATCTATGGGCTCGCTCTCCGCCTGTATGCTCTCCATGGCTGTCGAATGCGCGACCAGACGCTGTCGGTTTATTGATCTGGAAACACACAGACCTATTTATAAGAACGGTAACAGATAATTAATATCTATACTAATATATAAATCTATAGTGGTTTTTACGGATGTTCCGTTATAACTACTGAACCATGCATCCGATTGACTTGAAACTTGGTATCCATGTCGAAAATACATGTACTTAATGGGTAGGCTAATATTTATATGAGTGTTGGACTCCCTACACCAGTTGCGGGGGCGTTAATGATGAGAATTTTTGTGGGGGGTAAGAAATAATAATGTTAATTTTAAATGCCCAGCGAAGCGGACGGGTACAGCTAGTATTAAATATGAATATTAACACGCTGACTGCCGCGTAGGTTACCAGTCCCGACGCGGCGCCCTGACACGATTACTGTCGATTTCTGTTACTGAGGCGCCTGGATTGTCTAACTTTGCCTTCTTTTGTTTGTTAATGTGTGTTTTAAATCTTTAGGTTACCACAAGCACCGGTCACCGTCCTCGTCGAACCCGTCGCTTGCGACGAAGGGCTCGACGAACGAATTAACCCATAGACACAGCCCACGGAGTTTCTCGCCTGGTAGTGTGTGAAATGTTTTTTTTTATCGATTTAATGTCTGTTTTATGCATAATTTAATAAAATATTAACATTCTGCACACTCCTTCTTTATATTCACTCATATATACATACATGTATTTTATACATGGATACAAAGTTTCAAGTCAATCGGATGCATGTTTCAGTAGTTATAACGGTACATCCGTAAAAACCACTGTAGATTTATATATTAGTATAGATAAGGCCATTGTATTATTAGTTTTAGCGCGTATTCGAGAGGATATCGACCCGTCTGTTGTTAAGTGATTACTGAATTCCATAAATATACGACAACACGAATACACATAACGAGACGTCACGTCTAAACCTCTACTCCATCGGAGCAAATATTATATGAATATGGCTTAGTGATACAAACTAAGCCGGATTAAGCGACGGAACCGATTTTTTTTCTGATTGAGAGTTTACTGGTGGCCCTGAAGCCTTTCCAGTTTCACAAGGACAGGTGGGCGAGCAAGGGCTCAGAAGGGGTGGTATTTGCTAACAGCTACCCGAGCGCCTCCAAGGGAGACCTAATGACTCAAGAGCAGCTGCTTCGCGATTGAATCTACTATCGGATCGGAATCGCGACCCGCTGAGAACATCCGGCGAGATACTCAATGGGCTTTTTTTATTTTTTATTGCTTAGATGGGTGAACGAGCTCACAACCCACCTGGTGTTAAGTGGTTACTGGAGCCCAGACATCTACAACGTAAATACGCCACCCACCTTGAGACAAAAGTTCTAAGGTCTCAGGTATAGTTACAACGGCTGCCCCACCCTTCAAACCGAAACGCATTACTGCTTCACGGCAGAAATAAGCAGGGTGGTGGTACCTAGCCGCGCCGACTCTCAAGAGGTCCTACCACCAGTTTGGGCTGATGCTTAGGTTAGGTTGCACGTCGAACTCTTTGCCAAGTTCGACGATTACGGTTACCGGGGTTTCTACTCTTAATTTTAGATCGGAAGGCGTCTAAAGCAAGGGTTATTGGATTTGATGGATCCGTAAGGACGTGTCTAGGGCGACGACGGTGACTGGCTCCTGCGTGATCAGGATTCGGGAGACGGAACCGTCCGGACTCGGGCGAGTCTTAAATATAATTTAAATTATCTAACATATTTTAAGAACAAACACAACGTACACTGACTTCATTATAATCTATAATAACTACCCACACGATGCAACGAAAATGTTTGAGATATTCAAAACGAAACCTTACCACAACACATTAAGGTACATTTCAAAAAGAATAACAATAAAACATGCATGTTACTAACTACCCATAATGTTAATAAAAAAAAATTGTTTTTTTTGTTATTCACCATTATTAATAATTTCTCCGATACAAACTCATGGACAAAAACTTGTTATTAAACACGCATACATACAAACAAACCGATCACATGCACAATGCGTTAGAACAAAGAATACGTTAAGTATGAATCAAGACAATTAGATGTTAGAACGGAACGCATCATCTCATTCGTTATTATAAATATATCATCGAAGCATATTAAATTATCATACTGTGTCCTTTTAACTTGGATCCCGAAATCCTCCCTGGCTTCGGATCTGAAAATTGTGTTCGAAATATCAAAAATGTTTTTAATTGAATACCGAAAAAAAGGTGTGTGTTTGTGTGCAAGTCACACGTGGTAGAAGTGGAACTTATGAAAAACAAAGATAATCGCAAGGGTCAACCACGACGCAGTAGAATGGAGCGGCTTCACCCTGGGGGAACCGCCTGCGTGATCACGGTATTCCTAATTTCCTACGCCAGATAAGTATGATCTAGCCAGAGAAATAAGAGAACGTCTATCAACTGTGTAACATCTCGTCACCGCGATTCAGGAATTGTTGAATTTACGTGCAGCGACATCTGTTGATAACCAACTAAATAGAAATAATTGTAAATCATCTTTTATAGTATGATCTGAAAATTGTGTTCGAAATATTAAAAAAAAAATCGGTTTCCTGTAAAGTCGGTTTACTGACGATAGTTAAACGTGACAACGTCATAAGAAAATACTGATGGAATGGTTTCATTTTTCAATTATCGCAATTATCGTTGCTATAAACAATTGACACCACATTCACTTTTCAATGAACTTCATACTTGACGAAAACATGTAAATGTATTATTGTATAGCAGCTGTCCACGCGGATGCATCGCTCACTCAAGTAGGAGAGAGACAGATGTCGAACGCTGCCGAACGCGGAGGCCGATTGTGCCTCTTTGTCGCTCGTTGCGCGCTCTCGCTTGCACTTCAAGCCTTAAATGGAACGCCTCAGAGCGAGGTAACGCCGCAAGAGTCATGTTTTTTTGTGCGTGCAGCCGGCTCCATCGAATTATAAGACGTTGTCACGTTAAAAATTTTTTTAATTGTATACCGAGAAAAAAAAACTCCAGTTTTTTGTCTTGATATTTTTTCCTAATTTTAAACTTTAAATGGCTCTGCTGAATAGTTGCAAAAATATCGCTAAAACCAATAGATAACCTTTCACCCCTCGATATATAAAGCTTATGTATAGGACATGTCTGTATATCGACGCTTGAGAGGCAAACGTGACTAAGCGACAATGCGTGAACTTTACAGTAGACTAATTTAAAGTTGAAATACCTGAAAACAAAATTTATTTTAACGAATCTAGCTAGTAGCTGTAGGATTGAAATTATTTTAATAGACCTAGAAATATATATTTTTTGCGCATCGAATATGGTTATTGCCTATCATTTATGTACAAAGCAGTTATTGTCGCTTAGTCACGTTTGCCTTTCAAGCGTCGATATATATATTATATACTATATCTACTGTCGTCTATTCCCCACATTAACTACTAATGACTCTATGTTACTAACCTCGTTCGATTGAGTCCAGTTCTCTTGGTCTCCCCTTCGTTATCCTCACCATCGCTCTGACCGGATTCGGTTAGTTTCCTGGCTTCGTTCTTCTCGCGCTGGGCGTCATCTAAGTTATGTATGCCGACCAGGAGGGAGTAGTCCATGATCTATGATCCAAAATTACCATTACTCACCAACGAATACGAATTATAAAAAAAAAACTACTCAACCTAATCTATACTAGTATATAAATCTACAGTGGTTTTTACGGATGTTCCGTTATAACTACTGAACCGTGCATCCGATTGACTTGAAACTTGGTATCCATGTAGAAAATACATGTACTTAATGGATAGGCTAATATTTATATGAGTGTTGGACTCCCTACACCAGTTGCGGGGGCGTTCATGATGAGAATCTTTGTGGGGGTGAGAGATAATAATGTTAATTTTAAATGCCCAGCGAAGCGAACGGATACAGCTGGTTACTTACTAAAGCTATCTCTGTAAGGCATTGGCATTGGTCATAGCTAAGGTAAGCTATTATTGAAACTATAGTCGTGACATCTGTTATTCAAGTTGGTATCGAGATATGTAATAGTTTAAAGATTGCCCCCATATGACGTCACACGTGGTGTAAACAAAGTCTGCGCGTCAAAATCCCCATTATCGCATTTGAAACTTATTAACAACGATATATCTTACTGTTGGTAGGACGTCTTATGAGTCCACACGAGAAGGTAGCCCCCACCCTATTTCTGCCGTTAAGCAGTAACGCGTTTTGGTTTGAAGGTTGGAGCATCAGTTATACTATTAACACTGATAGGAACTTATGTTTCCAGTTGGGCGGCGGCATTGACATGAGAAACGAAGCGAAAGCGCGCCATCTAGTGGATGCGAGCCGCAACCACTCGTCAAACATCGGCTCACTTCGGAAGAGTGAAGACGTCTCAGAACTGTCATATTGTTTTTTTTTAAGGGATTTAATGGTGGTCATTTACGGAGATTTTTTCAGTGAACCTTTTGGAGGATCCTGTGAAGTGACTTTCAGCGGCTTTATTTCATTTTCCCACATTTGTGCACTTTCACAGATACTAAACAGTTAATAAGCCACTTATTACACATTTAAACCTGAAGAAACACTAAATAGACAAAATAAAACAAAACACACAACTTCACTCCTCGCGTTCCCGCCAAAAAGTCTGTCATCTTGATTCGTAAAGCTCAATCTCTTTGCACGACTACCCACTATGTCAAGAAATAATAAAGATATCGACCCATTCCGCGACATATACTTATAAATGTACCTTGAAGCTCTCCAATACACGACAATCACGCTGCATCGTTTTTATCAAAGCCGTGTACGTGTCCGCTTCCAGAAATATCCCCTCGTTGTGATGCTCCATGAAGTCGAGATCCTTGTAGGTCGGTGAGGTTTTCTGTCGTTCCGTTTTGCTTGCCTGTGTGAAGGTTTAAAATAATTAAAGTTATTAAAAAAAAAAAGGGTTGTCACTTGTCTGTAAAGTTCGTTTACGGACGATAGTTTTAATTGATGACGTCAGTAGCAGTACTATACTGCTAGCTCTGACGTCACGCGAGAAGAGTTATGTATGTGTCATAAGCCAACGCTTGGGCCGATTGTGCCTCTCTATCGCTTGTACCGCGCTCTCGCTTTCACGTGACACTTTTTGTCAGGTGCGTGCAACAGATTTTGCTGTGCTTCGTGATGGCCGTGCTTCGCAGAATCTACCACCGGATCGGAAACGCGACCCACTGAGAAGATCAGGCGAGAAATTCAGTGGGCTGTGTCTGAGGGTTAATTTACTCGTCGAGCCCTTCGTCGCAAGCGACGGGTTCGACGGGACTACGATGACCGATGTTCATCGATTTAGAAGACGTTAACACGTAAAACTTTTATCTTTATCTTTATCTTTATCTTTAACACGTAAAAAGTAAACAAAAAATTTGTATGCTTTAAATTAATATAAATATTATTTTTTGAGTTAAATACACCTACACACACAGACATTCAACGGTTTTTCTTGTATATCATCACACGTGTCCTCATACCGGAAACACTGAACTTATCTATACACATATATGCATATACTATTTATCTTTGATAAATATGCTGATGATTCTCTCCCAAAACGCGTACTTTTTAGTAAATTAGTCCGCGCAATTTTTGAGGGTAAAACGGGGTACAAAGTTTTTGCTTCGCGTATTAATATATAAATTCCGATGGTGTGTTGTTATCTACATTTGGCTTTTTTGGTTGACAAGGTTGCCTACCACTGCCCTTAGCGTTGTTACAGGGTCATTGAAAGTGTCGAGACAAGCTGCGACCACACCTTCAGCGCCTTAGCTAAAAGCCACCTCTGACTTTCATCACCGGTTCATACATTGACGTCACACATTCAATTTTTTTTCCTACCGAAGCTGAGAGCCTTGAGAGGCTATTTCAGCGTAACCTTAACTAGTAGATGAGCTCGCGGGTCTCAAACCTGACGACGCGGCTAACACGAGCCCGCAAGAGCAGTGCTTCGCAGAATCTACCACCGGATCGGAAACGCGACCCACCGAGAAGATCCGGCGAGAAACTCAGTGGGCTGTGTCTGAGGGCTAACGCATTCAACATACCTTACGTTTGTACGTGGACCCCTTGAGGTCGTATTTCTGGTGCATTTTGATCGACGAAGGCAACAGATTGTTCATGGCGACCAGACGCACGTTTTTGCTGTTACACTGATAGCAATAGAGGCCGAAGAACTTTGGTAATAACGTGCGGGGGTTCTGAAAGGTAAATGTGAATATTTTTACTAGAGGTAATCGTTGGGACGAGGCATTGAATATGGGTAAGTACTGAAATCCTGCCTCTTCCTGCAATAAACCAGTCATGCGTTCAGGCTTGAAGAGATACAGCCGTTTTGTAATATAATTGAAGCATAAATGCAATCCCTTTCCTCAATCCACCCATCTAAGCAATAAAAAAAAAAACAAAAAAAAACATGACTTTCCCTGACCCTCTTCAAAACGTCGGATTAAGTCGAAATTTGGCATACTTATTAAGGACCGATGACAATTCAATATTAATATTAAAAAAAAAATTAAAGAAAATTGAAAACATTGAAATTCAACAAAAAATGGAAAAATAAATAATACTTTAAAAAACTAAACAAATACGCTTTTATATAAAATCCAACAAAAAAATAGAAAATAAATTTTAATAAATTTGAATTAAAAATAGTGTAAGGAAAAATGATTTTATTGTAAAAAAAGCGTGGGGTGTATGGTATCAGTAGTTATAAATATTTTATGAACAGATATATGAGTAGAAAGGCTATTTTGATAATATCGAAATCGATAATATTGAAAATTGATTTTTTTTGTTGTATTTTCTATAAAAGCGTAATTTGTTAGTTTCTTTTTAAACTTTTATTTTTAATAATTAATATGAATTCTTTCCTTGCCTGATCGAGGTTCAAGTAGTATCCAGGCAGTAGTTTCTGCAGAAACTCCCCCTCCTTGTGCTGTACCGTCTTTATGATGAACTCATCGTCGTTCGTCAGGTAGAAGATGCTGCCTGAAGCGCCAGGGTTGCTGAGCTCGCGGAGTGGTGCGCTGCACATTGACATCTACGAAAACAAAAGTTATTTAACTTATTTTTATTTTACGAAAACGAGCTTCCATTTTTCTTTCCTACCTATGCTGATAACCTTGAGAGGCTAGATCAGCGTTACCTTGGCGTGTAGGTGAGCTCATACCGGAAGTGTTGCTAACAAGAGCAGTGCTTCACAGAATCTACCACCGGATCGGAGACGCGGCCCACTGAGAAGATCCGACGAGAAACTCAGTGGACTGTGTCTATGAGTTAGTTTCATCGCCAAACCCTTAGTTGCAAGCGACAGGTTTAACGAGAACGGTGACCGGTGCTTGAGGTACCTAAAATCACCGTTAATTGATCGGGAGGATCCGTAATGACGTCTATCGGGCTTTCCCTAGTGTTTTTTTTTTATTGCTTAGGTGGGTGGACGAGTTCACAGCACACCTGGTGTTCAGTGGTTATTGGAGCCCATAGACATCTACAACGTAAATGCCGCCACCCACCTTGAGATATAAGTTCTAAAGTCTCAAGTATAGTTACAACGGCTGCCCCACCCTTCAAACCGAAACGCATTACTGCTTCACAGCCGAAATAGGCAGGGCGGTGGTACCTACCCGCGCGGACTCTCAAGAGGTCCTACCACCAGTAATTACACAAATTATAATTTTGCGGGTTTGATTTTTATTACACGATGTTATTCCTTCACCGTGGAAGTCAATCGTGAACATTTGTTGAGTACGTATTTCATTAGAAAAATTGGTACACACCGACGGGATTCGAACACCGTTGCATCGCTCAAACACGAATGCACCGGACGTCTTATCTTTTAGGCCACGACGACTTCTAACGACTACGTTTCTTTAAGTGTTTTCGACTTGGTGCTCTTCACTAAAATATGTTTTAAAAAAAAACTCACCAAAAAATCGTCCGGCTGTATCCCGAACAAATCTCTGAAGTAACGGAACGCGATCGGCGCGTACGTTTTGAATTTGAACTCGGAATAGTGATGGGCGGGCGTGTGGTTCGATCCCTCGTGGGGGAAATTCGTCGTCTCGACGGTCATGAAGTCCTGCATGAGTAGATCGCGTTCGGGCTTCGACGCTAGGCCTCCTATAGCGTGCTGGATGCCTGGAACACAGAAGAAGCATTTTCAAAATTGACACCCCAATGGAAGTTTTTCTAGAGATTTCTAGATTTACATTCGTCGAGACATACCCCTTTGATTATTTGACTTTAGATTGACTTTTTATATCCTACCTAAGCTGATGGTCTTGAGAGAACATATTCGCGTCAGCGGACAAACACGGTGTAGGAATAACATCGTTTAATAAAAATCAAGTCCTCAAAATTATAATTTACTTATTTACTCGTGGTAGGGCGTCTTATGAGTCCGCACGGATAGCTACCACAACCCTGCCTGATTCTGCGGTGAAGCAGTGCCGATAAAGTAGGAAATTTAAATAGTAGACACCATACCTACTCTACGTACCTACCACCTTACTTCATACTAGCGACCCGCCCTCGCTTCGTTTCGGAAACATTAAAACACACATGAAACCAAAAAAAAAAAAAAATTAAAAAAAGTAGCCTATGTTCATCAGGGACAATGTCGGCTTCTAATGGAAAAAGAATTTTTCAAATCGGTCCAGTAGTTTCGGAGACTATTCGAAACAAACAAACAAACAAATCTTTCCTCTTTATAATATTAGTATAGATAATATTAGTATAGAAGTATAGACAAGTGCACAGGAAGCTAGTTCGTCACTTGTCGACTTCATAAAAAATTAAAAACATAGGTTCGACTACATTTTTGCGCGACACGAACCGTTCTATTTGTAAACTTAGTTATCTTATCGAGCACATTCACAGAAAACATGAAAGTAATTAATTTCCCGCGTAATTAGTAACCGCCTAACCGCCTAACAATTTTTTCTAAGCAAGCTATGTTGTTTTACATACGAATGCTCGCAGAAGCCGGCTTTTAGGACACGCAACTGGGTTGTTAATGATACTAGTTGGTCCCACGGTAGTCGAAATTCGACTATCATTAATTGAAATTATAAGTTTGTACACTATTATGACTCTATTGTCAAAGACTATTATTATTATTATTTTTTTTATTGCTTAGATAGGTGGACGAGCTCACAGCCCACCTGATGTTAAGTGGTTACTGGAGCCCATGGACATCTACAACGTAAATGCGCCACCCACCTTGAGATATAAGTTCTAAGATCTCAGTATAGTTACAACGGCTACCCCACCCTTCGAACCGAAACGCATTACTGCTTCACGGCAGAAATAGGCAGGGCGGTGGTACCTACCCGCGCGGACTCACAAGAGGTCCTACCACCAGTTATTTTTATATATTTTTATATTTATATAGTTATATTATACTCCTATAATCACAGATTTCGCTAAGACTACACTTTAGGTAAATATTAATAAATACAAACAATATTTAACCTATTTTCAATTTGAACACAGACTATGAGTAATAAGAAAAGTTTGACAATAAACAAATAGTATGTATGCGTGTGTGCGTCAAATACGTGTGTAATGTGTGGGTAGTGTGTGTAATATTTTAATTTATTGATTTCATGTATTTTTCATGCATAATTAAAAAAAATATTAACATTCTGCACTCCTTCTCTATATTCTCTATAAGCGTGGAAAATTTCATACTCCTCCGTCCGCGCAATTTTCGTAAAAAGGGATACAAAGTTTTTACTTTTCGTATTAATATATAGATAATGGATAATGTCAATATAATTAATAATAATAATAATAATAATTTATTTATTTCTCTCTTAAAGGTACAAGGTACATACAAATTGAAATTATAATTTATTTTGTAAGCCTTTGAAAGAGCTGAAGTCTGTACTAGGTTCAAAGACCTGTATTACTGATCTCCAGGCTCCCTCCTTCTTAAGATAGATTAGGTTAGGTTAAGTCGTGAACAGATGCTGCGGACTAGTGTTGAGAGATCATTAGGTATTATATTTTAAGAAGGTCATTTTACGTGTGTGTGCGTGTGTGAATGTGTGTGTATTTGGGTTGTGTGTGTGTGTGTGTGTGTGTGTGTGTGTGAGTGTGTTGTGTGTGTGTGTGATGAGTGTGTGTATATGTGGGCGTGTGCGCGCATGCATGTTGTATTGTGTATGTGTGAGTATCTGCATCTATGCGTGTTTATTATTACTATTACATAGGTATAAATAATTATTTGCTTAATTGGGCTCGAAAACAAAAAGCAGATTACTTCACAGTCTGGAGTAAATTCTCTGTTTGCTCGTAGTCTAGGTCGTGAAGCTAATTTGTTAGTGCATGTTTGCATTGGGTCTGTGTCATGGGGTATATATTGATCAGCTTATTGATTTTATTGTATATGAAGCTACTTAGGAAGCCATAAAAGCGTTGAGCTAACGATGTAGAAACAAGTGTTGTGGGACGCACACCATGCCCGCGCCGCTGACTTACGAGCAATGTCGGATCGTATGGAGTTTTCGAGTGNCGGACTAGTGTTGAGAGATCATTAGGTGTTATATTTTAAGAAGGTCATTTTACGTGTGTGTGCGTGTGTGAATGTGTGTGTGTGTGTGTGTGTGTATGTATGTGTATGTGTGTGTGCGTGTGTGTGTATGTGTGTGTGTGTGTGTATGTGGGCGTGTGCGCGCATGCATGTTGTATTGTGTATGTGTGAGTATCTGCATCTATGCGTGTTTATTATTACTATTACATAGGTATAAATAATTATTTGCTTAATTGGGCTCGAAAACAAAAAGCAGATTACTTCACAGTCTGGAGTAAATTCTCTGTTTGCTCGTAGTCTAGGTCGTGAAGCCAATTTGTTAGTGCATGTTTGCATTGGGTCTGTGTCATGGGGTATATATTGATCAGCTTATTGATTTTATTGTATATGAAGCTACTTAGGAAGCCATAAAAGCGTTGAGCTAACGATGTAGAAATAAGTGTTGTGGGACGCACACCATGCCCGCGCCGCTGACTTACGAGCAATGTCGGATCGTATGGAGTTTTCGAGTGTGTAGTCATAATAAAATTAAGAATAAATAATTTACGGACAGAAAGGACTTTACAGGTTTTGTAAAGATCATTTGTAGGAAACCTACAAGGGAGCCGCCATCCAACTTTTAAAATACATCTCTAGGGCACGTTCAAGTTTTAAAAAGTGTGTTTTGGAAGACCCGCCCCATGCCACTATGCAGTACTGAGTGACTGATCGACAGAGCGCTAAATAAACGAGTGTAAGTACGTTCCTGTCGGTAACATGACGCAGATTTTTAAAAATGTAAGTGAGTTTGCGTAATCTGGACGACAGAACGTCAATATGGGAATGAAAGGATAGTAGGTCATCGATCTGTATACCCAGATACCTTTTTTTTTCGGGTAGAGGGCCGAACCTCCTACGAGGTCCCCGCGCAAAAGGGGCGCGCGGGGTATGTGAGACTCTACGATCTGCATGGTGTTGTGAGCAGACCGCGGGCCCAAGGATTTTAGGGCCCACCCACTAAACGACTCCCCTGTACTCTTACACCCGACGTCCGATCCCCTCCGAGGTCAGAACCCTAGATACCTAATGCAATTTGTCCTGGCAAGGGAGGGGCAACCGCAGGCAGTTTGTTCCAAGAGCGTTACAGGAGTGGGCTATAAGTGAAAAAGGCGAAGATGATATTTTACCACGCGTAGACAGGGAAAAAGTGACGTACTTAGTTTTATCCACGTTCAGTGTCAGTAGATTTTTAGACAGCCAGTCAGTTACGGTGTTCAGGCCACATTGAGCAAAACTAAAAGCTGCCTCCCAAGAACTGCCATGAAATACGNATGTATCTTTTATGCATTATTTAAAAAAAATATTAGCATTGCGCACTTCTTTTCTATATTCTCTATAAGTGTGGAAAATTTCATACTCCTCCGTCCGCGCAATTTTCGTAAAAAGGGATACAGAGTTTTTGCTTCACGTATTAATATATAGATGACTTAGAACTCCACGTTTGTTTCAGGTACATTCATATATAGTTTGCTGAATGTAAATTAACAAGACGAAAAATAAATTGGAGCCAGCAAGCTGTAAGCCAGTAAGGTGATATTGATTACATGAAAGATTAAATTGAAATATTTTTGAACACAACATTAGTCATTGGGTTTCTCTACCATAAAGAGATGACCACAACAACCATTTGCTTGGGGCCTGTTGAAACGGAAATTAAATGGAAGTACTTGCTATCATAATGCCTAGGTGTATTCTGCCAATGTGGCCAAAGTATTCCAAAGTCGTGGCTTAAAGGATAAGACGTCCGGTGTATTCGTATCTAGCGATGCACCGGTGTTCGAATCCGGCAGGCGGGTACCAATTTTTCTAATGAAATACGTACTCAACAAATATGCACGATTGACTTCCACGGTGAAGGAATAACATCGTGTGATAAAAATCAAACCCACAAAATTATAATTTGCGTAATTACCGGTAGTAAGCCCTGTTGTGAGTCCGCACGGGTAGGAATCACAACCCTGCCTATTTCTACCGTAAAGCAGTAATTCGTTTTGGTTTGAAGGGTGGGTTAGCCGTTGTAACTATACTGAGAACTTAGAACTTATATCTCAAGGTGGGTGGCGCGTTTACGTTGTAGATGTCTATGGGCTCCAGTAACCACTTAACACCAGGTGGGCTGTGAACTCGTCCACCATCTAAGCAATAAAAAAAATTGAAAAAAAAGGCAGATGGTAGAAAGCCTCGTCCTTATCTGTAGTTCTTAGAGGATCGACACGATGGTGCGACGTGCTGTCCAGGGATTCCTAGCATCTTTCGCCAGCATCACATCTTAAATGAATCAATTCGGTCGCAATCGACTTTATTCAGCTCCAGGTCTCTGCACCGTATACGCATCTAATTAATGAAAAAAATTGGCAACAAGCGAACCACTCCTCAAAACGATTAACCAATAGACTTCCTTGACATAAATGTTTATCTGATTCATATCCATAAAACTAAGCTAGGAATACATACATACTTTTTATCATAGTAAAATTATGTAATATGAGCCTTAGCGGTACAAAACTCAATTTCCCACTGTCAACGCCTTGTGCAGATGACACAGTCGTGTGAAAGAATAGCT